ACGTTAGTCATTTAGCGGATATAATGATCGATCGCGGCCGCCTACACACACGGTATAAATCTCGCAATACCGATGCACCGAAGCGAAATCATCATTACCCTGGACGCGGAACTGGTGCATCGCGCGCGATTTTGCCAGATTGATGCGGACACAAAGAGTGAAAGCACATCATTATGGATACCGCTTTTACCGCAGCTAACTCGCCGAGTTTCCCCGATTCCGTGGAGGCCCATCCGAGTAAATGCACCGCGACGGATGACACTCTCGTCGCATTCTTCCGGTCTGATCGATGGTTATATTTATACGACGATTTATCCTGTGATGACTTTCTCGCAAAACTCAAAGAAGCAGAAATTTTGAAAGAATATGCCTCGTGATTTTTTTCATCGAAACAGAATTTAATAGCACCTGTGGCAACAATTATTTTACAATAGCACCTGATAGTTTTAAGAGAATCTTAATTAAATTATTTAAATTAATTAAATTATTTTTCTATAAATTATTTTATTTAAAATTTCTTTTAGCTCATAACGATTGCGCAAAGATCCGTGCGAGGATAGAATCAAGCGGATTAAAGTCAATCTTATCAACTTGTCAATATGCGAAACAAAAATTACGCAACGATAAGAACGCATTAAGTGAACGAGTTAAATAAGCCGTATAAATTCGCTAATATGTAAAAAAAAATAATTTATATTAATTAATCTTATTTTTTTAACATTAATTTATATAAATTCAAAGTATCTACGATCCGCGTTTATAAACATTTATAAAAATGCTTTGCTCAATAACTCGACCGTGTAGATAAAGATTAAGTTAATGTCTATTGCAAATATGAATATAAAATATGAAATATTGTGTAACAGAAACCCTGAAACACATTCCTCGCACATTATCTAGAGACAGAAAGAGAAAGAGATTGACTTTCATAATATTTCGATAAAAAGTACAATATCTATTGCATATAATATTCAATAATCTTAGCACATTCGTGGATTCAATTCTAATGTTCGCAGAGAAAATAAAATTAGAAATTTGTCAAAGCTCATTAAGGCGATTATAGAGTAGCAACCACAATGATATATCCGATTTTAATCTCTGTATTGGGTAAAGATCCTTCTCTGACGCTTAAAACAATAGGTTCTCACGCGTTACCGTTGAAGAGAACCGATTGTACTTGGAAAGCGATAGAAATTATAGAAATTCGATAAAGATGATGGTTAATAGTCGTAACCACCGCGCATAAATTGGCTGGCTCGAGCTCGGTTAACTAACGTTAACCGAGATTAGTAATCATACAGCGCTCAGCGTTGAAGACACTCTTCAACTGGAAATATATCCGTCGTGACCCGAGGAAAGCGGAATATCGTGGCCGCTCTCTAATATCCTCCGAGGCTAAAACGTTATTTCACCTTTCGCATCTTTCTCGCGAAGCTCTTTCCCCTACAATATAACAGCGCTTATTAGTCCCCTTAGTCTCACGAGTCGAGAGATTCTACGAACCAAGCATCTCGGAAGTTAAACTGATTAACTTATAAAAAGTAGAGTTTGACTTTTTTCCGAGAACTTCAATTAGCACGAATTACAATAGCAATATATTAATGACACTTTACTGACTCGCTGAAAATATTAGCGAGTTGTGGAGAAGAATGATTGAACGATAAAATCAAAATAAGATTTCAGCTGAATCTTATTAAAGTTTCGAGATTTAATTATAAATAACGAAAATATTGGAAAGTTGAAGGATGTAAGACTCTTCCGACTCGACTTTCAGACAAGATCAGAGGCGCACAATCATTGTCATTTATAGATGTCATAATCACGCAAGAATTATTTTTCTGTATATTAGTAATATGAGTTTGTTACGTGAATATCCTGGAAATAAGACACGAAGGTTAAGAACGGCAGGGAAAGCGGAGAAACGAGTATGTGTGTGTATGTACATACACATATACATGTATATATTTATGTGCACTCTTACCGCGTACTTGTCCTTGTAAAAGAGCGAACTTGTCGACATGATGGCGCAAAACCGGTGGCGATGCCCGCTTCTCAAATCGAAGGCCGCGTCGTCCTGGTCATCATCGTCGTCTGCTCCTACGATCGCCCCCTTCTCTGGTTTCCGCTCCGGAAATGTTCGTCGCACTCACACTCTGCACACACAGATGATACCGATAACGATATTGATATCGATGTATATAGATGGCAAGATAGGGATACGAGAATGGTTTAATTTAATGCGTCTGGTATCTCTTTATCTTTTCCAACCTTGCACATGTATTCGCACGATATATAAAATATATCTCGAATTTCTTTTTTAAAAATGAAAAACAATTTTATTTAATGTCAAAAGAACTTTCTGAAATTATCTCTTTGCATTTTGCCGAATAAAAAATATTTAATTAGCTGTTCTTAGTCCAATTATGTAAATCGTAATTTATCAAATATGCATAGTATAGAATACATAAGACACGTTATATATCCGTTATATATATTTTCGCAATTCGCAATACTTATTCTCCATTTCCCCTATATATATATACATATAACCATAAATTTTCAAAACATTTCCCCGTTACGAGATCCAACTTACGAGCACCCAATTTTTCACTTCTCGCGGGAGGACGAATATCGGTTTCCGGCCGATATTCCTCGGAATTTTTCGCCTCTATCTCACAGTCCCCTCGCTCATTCTCGTATTCCTACCTTCTCGGCGAATTTTCGCGCGGAGAAACGTGCGTGGAATACGCGCGCCGTATATGGCGTAAAGAAGCCGCGCGACTGCTCCGCGATCGATCGATCGAACGAACGATCGACGCAGGACGAGGGACGAGGACGCCTCCTCCTCCTCCTCCTCCTCCTCCTCCTCCTCCTCCTCCTCCTCCTCCTCCTCCTCCTCCTCCTCCTCCTCCTCCTCCTCCTCCTCCTCCTCCTTCTCGGTGACACGCAACTCGCGCGCGCGCGCGCCCACGCACGCACGCACGCACGCACGCACGCAGAGCGGAAGAGCGAGCGAACGGCAGATCGCACCTGAATCGAACCTGCGGGAGAAAGAGACTGCTGGATATACCCGTCCGCATGTCCAGTTACTTCGCGGCACACAAGGATGGCCCTCCCACCCCACCGCGAGACACGTCTCCTCCCCCCTTCCCCCCTCTCGGCCACGTTCCCTTCCCTACACCCGATGACCTACAATCTCCGGGCTCCGCTTTGTTTGCATCTCTCTCTCTCTCTCTCTCTCTCTCGATATGTCGTGCGTACGTCGATTCGTCGTGATATCCTATGGACGTTCTTTTTTTTTTTTTTCGTTTCCTTCTCGCTATCACCCCGGCTAGCCTTCTCCTCCCCTTCGCCCTCCCCCCCCCCGATCTCTTGCCTGCCTGCTACGATCAAGACGAGACGCGCAAGATTTGTTTTTGCGGCGTGAATTATTATTTTAACGTTTCTTTAACGGGAAGGATAAAATATTCACGCGAAGAAGTATTTGCATAGTTATCATACTATGATTTGTTTAAATAACTAATTATATAAATTATCGAAGAGAAAAACGCATACGTACCTCGCGAGAGAACATCGTGGAAAAGAACGCCGTTACGTTTGAAGTGAAGCGAGTTGCAAAGTTCATGGCAAACTTTAGCCTATTGCGTGGAGAGACCTCTGTAAAAAAATTAATTAATTAAAAAACAGAATGATTGATAGGTATTCTTTAAAAATTTTAAAATATGTTATGATAAATTCTTGTAGATTAATAAACCTGCTTTAGAGTCTGAGATCGATTACATAAAATTAATAATATATAAACAAATGGCTAATTACATATTTTATTTAATTTAATTATATTATAATCTATTATAATTTATTTAATTATATTATATAATTTAAATTAAATTATTTAATTGTTTTATTTTGTTGGCTGATTTTAGATTAATTTTGGAACCTTCGTAGATATTCGTTAAAGATTCTGTCAAAAGTTTACATCATACATACATGTATAAATAAAATATTTTTCAATATTTTTCGCAGGAATATTTTAACGTTGTTTAAAAATATTTTACGTAAGTGTAGATATAATATGTATACGTATACATTTAAATAGACATTTTTACACCTCGGTTTTGTTTTGCATGTGATTTTAGATATCTTTGATTTCTTCGTCTTCTTGTAATTTAATTGGCAATCAATTAGACCGACTAATCGAAAAAAAAATCGTCGAATATTCAAACACACCGTGCTCTGATTTTTACATAGTCCATCAGAAATTGGCCATATTGAATATTAGTTTACTCAAGCATATTCGGCCAGATGGCGCTTGAAGCGCCATTTTAAAAGGAAATACGAGAGTTAGCTATCTGTTTTCTTACGTCGTTCGTGGAGCACGCTGTGTGTTTGTTTCCCTCCCGTTGTACGAAGCCAAAGTCGGAACATGACGCAAGAGAGTCAGTAAGTATGAGATCGGCGGTGAAAAATCGGCGCGGCGAGTACCGAGCGCGGGGGCCCGGCCCCGTCAACAGGATCGCGCGATCGCGCGTCCACAAGACGACCTGCACCGCGTGGTAAACGTCGCGAGCGTACGTGTGCCACCCCGTGGCTCTCACCCACCATCGCCATGTTGGTTGGAGATGACGGTATTATTGATTCTCGAAGTTTCCAGGCGGGATGACTCGACGTGCGATGCTCCTCTCGTCGATCGAGAGGGAAAAAATAAGTTGATAAATAAAATGTAGATCCCCCACGTTCATCCTCGACGAGGAGCCTCGAATTCGCGCTCCTTCGCGTCGCGTCCCCTCGGCCTCGTAGACTCCCCCGACTCAACCGATCGAGCTCCGATGACTCTCACTTTTTCCAAAATGCGATTTGATCTCCGAAACGTTTAACGTGATTTATTTCGTACGTCGATATTGATTTAATGTCACGTATGACATCGCGAATGTAACGATTCGAAAATCTGCGGAATCGCCGCATCTCGAGCTCTCAACTCTAACCTATAAGATGCACGATAAGTTCGCTATTTCGTGCACGTGGGAATATGGCAATCTCACGCAATTTTTCGCGGTGCATAATACGAGGTCATTTTAGACACGCGTGGCGAAAATTCGGGGACAATATTTCATTCATGTGAGAGGAGATGGAAATCGTAAATGTATAAATTCGAAAAAGAAAAATTATTAACCTTGATTAAAAGCTTCATACAAATTTTACTTAATCCGAATGTATGTATTATAGTTTTTATTATTTTTTTACTCCATAAGTCTAAATAATATTCTAAATAGCTATTAACAAATTTCTTGTTAATATATCTTGAAGAAAATGAGAATTAAAAAATCTTTAGTTACTATATCAAGTGAACAAATTGGAAAGAATATTATAGAAATGATAGGTTTATAAATTTAATTTTTTCTATTCAGAAAATAAAATAAATTTTACAATAATTTTTTTATTATTTAACATTTTCATATCTTTCTGATTTTTAGGATACCTCCTCCACCCGTTATGTGGGCCCAAAGGAAAGATATCTTATTTGTTACAATCTGCTTAGAAGACTGTAAAGATCCTGTTATCGAAATTGAACCAGAGAAAATATATTTCAAAGGAGAGGGTGGCACAGATAAAAAAATGCATGAAGTTACAATTAATCTATATAAAGAAATTGAGCCCAGTAAAACTGTAAAAAATTTGAAAGGTAGAACTTTCGAATTAATTCTTGCTAAAAAAGAAGAGGGACCATATTGGCCACGATTAATTAAGGACAAAACAAAGGCTCATTGGTTAAAGAGTGATTTCAACAAATGGAAGGATGAAGATGATACTGATGATGAAAGCAGCCCACCAGATTTAGAAGAGGTAAGTTAATTAATAAAAGGTAATAAAAGGTAAGGCTCGATCATAATTAGAGTTTCAGTTATATATATAGTCAAAAAAATTATTCTTACAGATTTTAAATTGTTTGAATAATTTATAGTTGAACTCTATTGTTTATAAACACATTTTAAACTTAACCCTAAACTTAGTCCCTCATGATCAAATAGTCTTACATGTGTCCTTCGAAATAAATTTCAATTAGCATTATTTAAAAAATAAAATAATTATTAAAACACTGAATTGTATATCTTTTCTAAATTCCAAATTTTTCTTAAAGAGTAAATAGAGATGGATTTGTAGCTAAATTCAAATTAATCTTAAGATATTAAACAAAACAAAATTAATAAGATTGATACTGGTATTATTTGGGAATTGACTTTTCTTCATTCATTCATTTGCGACTTTTTATATTTGCTACACATATGTAAAAAAATACTAATGAGATTGAGCATAACATATATTTACAAAAAAATAGAGTACATTTGTATTTATAAAAATACAAAAAGGAAGAGTTAATAAATTTTTTTTACCTAATTTTGCAGATGATGCGACAAATGGGTGGTCTGAGTGGTTCTGGTGACAGTAAGCCAAATTTTGACGATTTAGATGAATTAGGAGATAACGAAGCCGACAGCGATGATGAAGATCTTCCGGATTTATATGATTAAAAGGATGAATAACCGCATCAATTAACTGATTAATTAATTACATTAAAAACAAATGGCAACCTAAGGATAATGCACAATTGGGCAATATTTCAGTAGGTCTCGCTGTTTGTATCTTCAATTGCAAATTCGTTATAAAATGGCCATGTTGCAAGTAGCAAACTGGGCGCGTAAAATGGACTACAAAGAGGATACAGTGTGGTAACACAATTGACGAACAGTAATACACAGCTCTCGAGGATCCTCCACACCTCACCCGCCTCCCTTTTTAGCCTGTAGTTCATATACTAAGTTATAATGAACAAGCTTTTTTAATAATGTATTCTGTAAAGTAATAAGGAGATAAAAAAAGGACAAAACAATACATATGGAATTGTTCATTTTGGGAAATCCTACAAAGCACTATTAACAGGCATGACAAAATGTTATAAATGTTGTCTGTGAAATAAAAATATCAATACTTTATACTCTATCTTTTCATTGAATTTAAATTGTTCCGTCTTATTTTTTCATTTCACTTCTCTGTGTAAAAACGAAAAATTACAAGATATCAAATATCTTGTTTTCAGATTATATAGGTCATAAACATAAAATTATTTAACCGACAATGCTAGATGCTCCGCGTAAAGCTAAATATCCAGCCGTTATATCCATCGGTAAACTGCGAACTGTTGCAAATTCTTCGGCAGTTGCATAATATAATTTAGTCTGTGGATCAGTGTATCGTGCCTGTAAAAGAAATTTATAGTTTATAGCATTAATTGCACTTCTGAAGAGTGTATAAAAAAAATGTTAATTGATAAATATGAGAAAGCACTCACTGGCAATCCGGAAATATCAGAATACTTTTTAGCAGGTTTAAAACTCGGCGGTGCATTAATGGAACTATCTGAAATTTAAACAAAATTATGTAATGTAGAAAAACCGATAGATATTTCTTCAATCTATCTTCAAAAATATTTGATTTTCGATTTCATTTTTTATCGCTTGTATACTTGAATGTCTTTTAATTTTAATACTCTTCAACTGATATACAAAACAATGATAAGAGGAGAAAATGAAGATTCTGTCACATTACATACAATGTTTTACTGTCGCCGGCCATGGCAACGAACGTTCCTGAGCCAAAACTTGCTTCAACGAACGCCAAGTGCGTTTTTTGCCGCTGGTACTAGTCGGTCGAAATTTCTGTTGGAATGAACGGTTTTTAAACACGGGCGGCGGTTTTTTGTTAGCATCTATCACTTCTTCGCTCGCCATTTTTTAATATTATCTAAAACAAAAAGATTGATGTAATAAATAAAAACTTATAATAATTTTAATTACTAATGAAATTGAAACTTTTTACGTTGTTATGAACTATAGAATTGTAATACGAATGTATTGGTTAAATTATCTATCTATATACACAATTTGCAAAGATACAAGAAATATAGCTGTTAATTATTTATTATAAGTAAAATTCGATATAGAAAATACATATATTTATAATGTTATATATGTATTCTTTTTTTTTACAGAAAATTGTTATCTGAATGGAATGAAATTAAACTATCATAGATCACAACTACATCTTAATATAAAGAAAATCGCCTACAGTATTATTGTATATGAATGCTTGATTAATGTTTTGGTCCATTTATTTAAGATAAATAAAGTAGAATAATAATCTTTATTGTTAAAACGAACACATATGGAAAGATAAATAAACATGTACTATATTTATATTGCTAAAATATCTTTCAAAATCAAAATGATGTATGTATCCTTGCAACAAGGGCTTTTCTATTATAATCGGCAGATTATCTTCAATGTATGTACAAAAGCCCTTTTACTTGGATCAATTAAAGACACAGAATGGCATGTTCACATAACATTAAAATATTCCAATAATCTAATGTTCTTTTATTGCGAGGAATATTTGGATGGTACTTTACATCACGCAATATCTATATAATAAATATATATACAAGTATAACAACAAGAAAGATTAATGCATAGAATTTTAATGATTACTTTATAACTACTAAGTTGTTAACATATTTTAAAAAATTGTTAATATTGAAAATCTTTTCTAGTTTTTAAAATTTTTATAAAAACAAAGATAAAATGTTGTGTGCGTTATGGATTGAATATAATTTAAATCACCTTGCTAGATACGTATAATGTGACATGTATATTTTTCATAAATTCCACATCGTTAATGTGCAATTATAGATACTCTTCATTTATTATTGCCTCTTGCCATGTGTGTCTAGCGATGCTCTCTATGAAATTACTCTTTTTCAAACAAGTATATGTTCTTTTTACAAATAATAAATCTTCATGTATCCATTGTGATACTAATATCGTTTCAGTTACATTTACAGATTTGATTATTTTTGAAAATTATTTGCTCCAATTTTTTTTCTTCAAATATGATTTGTTATAATATCTTGTATTGGTTTCTTTTATATTTTTATCTGTCTCGTTGACCTTTTGAACTATTTTTTTATTAATATGATTAAGATGACATGTCAATAACAGAGTATTAATCGGGTAAACAAACTTGTCAAGAAATTTTGTCTCGATAAAATAACATAACACTTTGCAGATTAGCATATATTTAAAGTGTTATTTATCGTAATATCTTTCGATTTCTCGCTAATTCTAGATTCGTTTGAGAAGCCACATCTATGCAAGGCATAAAATTTATTTTGTCCAGTTTTTTATTGCAGTTCGATGATACTTTGAAAGTCAAATTTTAAACGAATAAATGAATCAATTTTTCTACATCAAGTGCCGATAGCTCTACCATTTTATATTAATAAATAAATTATTAGGTGATAAAATCATACGCAAATTCTCGCAAATGCATGCAAAATCTAAAGCTGTCTCTATCAAGATTTTATCTACAGATGTGTCAAAGGTTAGCATTTGTTTAAAAACTTGAACAAACTTCGCGATGTTTTTGCTAAAAACGATATTGACGAATATCTTAAATACACATGTAATTCGTAACCATTTGTTACTCCGACATTCTATAAGTGTCAAATGCCGTAAGTAGCATACCTCACTGATAATAATCCTAAATTCATAAATCTCGAGGTTAGAAACTTAACCTTTATACTTTAATAAAGCGCGGTAAAAAAAGATACGAATGTATTTATTCGAATTTGCATATTTGCATTGATTTAGAATATCGAGATTGACAAAATAAATTTGCAATTGTCATATGCGATTTTTAAAGAATTATTTTTTTAAATATTTAACAATTTCTTTTTTTTTAACTTTTTTCTCTCTCTTTTTTCAATTTATTTATATATAATTTTAAATCATTTTTATTGGTACATTTGGAAAATCTCTTTTACCTCTTCTCTTTTTAAAAAGGGTTTTCTAAAATACCACATTTAAATATATTTTGAACTCAATTATTCCATTGTACTTTTTGCACTTAAAAAACTGCACTTGATGCACAAAATATCTGTTCTTTGCAACGACTTGCTATCTGCACACGTTATCTTTTTATCAAAAAATATCACCTTGTACTGATTGTTCTCTAATCCAAGTATCACCTATTTACTTATACAGTTTTTATTATTGCGATATAATTAAACTATATTGAATCCGTATTTGTAAAATTATAATATACGGTGTAATAAAAAGATTGCCCTGATGTAAGTCATTGTATCTCCTTTTTTTAGAAAGACAAACATGTATTATGTAATTGTTACGTATAAAATTGATATTTATAGATTTCAATTGTTCACTAAAGAAGAAACAATAAATAGTATTACTGTCCAAAATTCATTATTTAAATTAATTATACGAAGTGACAAGAAATTTTTGAAAAAAAGATCATAAAATTTTTCTCATACAATGATTCAAAACATTTCTTGTATATCTAACATATAACATTATTAAAATATATAAAAAGTATTTTTAATCGCTTTAATATACTATAAAAATGACTACAGTTATATACAAAGCATGAAAAGTTTGTCATTTTTAATAATTAATTCAAATCTTATTCTTTATATTTCATCTTTAATATCCTATATTTTTAACATTCCCATTCACTTAACATGCATATTTATACATCGCTGTCTCTTTACTTCATTTTTACCTAAATTGATTTTAGTGCAATTTTTAAATTTAAAATAGAGTGAATAAAGTACACAGATTTAATTTTTAACTCTTGGAACGAGAAAAAATCAATACAAGAATTTGCAATTAAAATGATAGATCTGTGTAATGAACAAAGTGAGGGAAGAATCGTAAGGAATGTAGAAGGGGCAGGGAGGGAGATGTAGAATTGGAATGGGAGGAACGTGCCAGTATTCGTTCACCTTGGCGCGCGTGTAAAGGTCAGAGGGAGGAGATCGCTCGAAGGAAAAAAAACTGTTACAGTTTGTCTGTCATCCGTGTATCTATCACAAAGTGTACGAACGAGAAAAATGGGGCGCAAATTCTTCGTCGGCGGTAACTGGAAGATGAATGGCACGAAGAGCGAAATTAACGACATCGTCGCGTTCCTGAAGACTGGACCACTCGATGCGAATGTCGGTACGTGAGATGTCAGTCACTCTATATAATATAATGGCACTTCACAAGGTGTAGAATGCATTATTTGCAAGTATTTTTGTCTCCGATAAATTCGGACTTGGACTTATTCTTTGCGTATAAATTTAATAATTTATTTTAGATTGTAATTGAGAAATTAAAATGAGCTAATATTGTACTTTAATGATATAAACAGATTCAATTTTATAATTAATTTCGAGGAAATTTTGTTATCGCACATTCCCTTGAACGAAATTTTAATTATTAATTATTTGATACTTAAAATTCTAGTGTTAATGTTACAAAAGATCTTTAAATTTGCTCAAGAATCTGACAGTAATGTCTGATGCAAACATGCTTATATAACATTTGTTCATGTTTTATATTCAATATTTAATATAAGGATTTTTAATAATTCAAAGAATTTTTGTGATTTGTAGACGTTGTGGTGGGAGTCCCTTCCATATATCTCACATATGTGACCTCCATCGTTCCCAGCAACGTTAGCGTCAGTGCACAGAATACATATAAAGTGCCTAAAGGAGCATTTACTGGTGAAATTAGTCCGGCTATGCTTCTGGACAATGGTATTCCCTGGGTAATTCTTGGTCACTCAGAGCGCAGAAATGTGTTTGGGGAAACGGACGAATTAATTGCAGAGAAAGTTGCACATGCTTTGGAGGCGGGATTAAAAGTAAGTAATAAAGTATCACCTACAAAAAGTGCAGTTAAATTTTAGAATCAAATGAAAGACAAAAATAAGAAATCAACTTTTGTATTTTCCAGGTGATTGCATGTATAGGTGAGAAATTGGAAGAACGCGAAGCAGGAAAGACAGAAGAAGTCGTTTATAAGCAAACTAAAGCAATAGCTGACAAAATTAAGTCTTGGGACAATGTGGTCTTAGCCTATGAACCTGTATGGGCGATTGGTACGGGTAAAACTGCGACACCGCAGCAGGCACAAGAGGTTCACGAAAAATTACGAGAATGGTTGTCCAAGAATGTCAGTCCTGATGTCTCGCAAAACTTGCGGATTATCTATGGTGGTTCTGTAACAGCGGGCAATGCCAAGGATCTGGCAAAAGAGAAGGATATCGATGGATTTTTGGTCGGTGGTGCATCATTGAAACCCGATTTTGTACAAATCATTAACGCTCGTTGTTGAATGGTTCAACGAGAGATTGTTTTAACAAAATTATATCAGATGAGACTTTATTCCTATTAAGGATATGCAAAAAGTTGCATATTGTTATAATCTGTTGGTCAAATATATAAAGTCTGTTCTGACAAAAAATATTGCTGTAAAGAAGATTCATATCCACTTTATCATATATTTTGCAACCTCCAATCTGCTTACAATGTAGCTATGTAATATTTTGAAAGATCTATATTACATTGTTGTTGTTGATTACCATTGTACACAGTTTTTTTAAATGTATTTCTAGTACTGCAAGGTACATATTATCTTAAATCAATTTGTATCTGCAGTACCATCAATACAATTAATGAAACAAAATTCAGAAACATTGTGAAAGCTTACTAAATAAATGTTAGAAGAAAAGAATGTCATTCTATACGATTTTTAGGAGAATTTATTTAATTAAACCTCTTACGAAGACATTCTTAGGTACTTCAATATTATGAACAGTCTTCAAATGATCTTGTTTTGCTCTTGTGCAAGCGATATCTGTAAGAGCTTTGAAAGATCTAGGTTCCCAAATTGATAAATCGGCTAGCACCTTTCGATTCAATAAAATATTACATCTAGCCAGTCCCTCTTTAAGAGTTCTAAAGTTTATACCATGTTGGGTTGTAGCAGCTTCTAGTCTCTGTTCCCGTAGCTAACAATAGGAGAAGACCAATAATTATGGAAGTTTCTTCTAACAAAATATGACTATAAATTTATGTATACCTCTCTGATATCCTCTTTTTTCTCATGTCTGCCTTGAGTAGCATATACCAAAGCTCTCTGCACAGTTCTGATGGTTATGCTGTAGCAATTCTTTCTCCTACCGATATAATGCTGTGGATAGTGGATAGAAATAATATGAAAAATACATTAATCTTCTGATTTATTTTACTTTTTTCGTTTTGTATCATATCAATTACAATGCATCAGATAAAAAAAGATTAAAAAATACTATTGCATAATATACTCACCGCGGCGAGCTTAAATATTTTCCGTTTGCGCCAAAATTCATCGGGACCGCGTGCTCTCACCAATAGATTTAAAGATAAGAAAACCATTATATTTTATTCTAATTAAATCGATCAAATTACAAATTAATTCCCCAAAAATTCTGTGTAATTTATCCAGAGTTAGGTTATCAGGATAACGATTAAACTCTCCGTTCACACTTCCACAATGTATAAAAGTCTATCCACATGTGTTGAACTTCTTGGGAGTTGGGAGAATAACGCTTAATCGACCAATCAGAACGAGGAAATTTTGATGTCTTCTATCCTGATTGGTCAGGTCAAACGCTACTGTGTTCGAAGGAACAGATTTTCGAACAATCTCATCAGGTATATGCATATATTTCATGTATATACGTATATGTATCTGTCAGATGTAGTTGGACTTGTTCTCGTCCTTATCGACGCAATCAGCTGTTTTTGCCGGCGATGTCTCGTATACGTCATAACACTTGTTATTGAGATATAGATTTGGATCATCGCTCGTTTGTGCGGAATTACGATTAAGAAACTTATAAGCTGCTTCCTTTACAATCCCGTCGTTTTTATATTCGCAATTAGTCGTGTAACCTAAAATATATACAACAATGGATAATCTAGAAGTCGACGACAGCGGAGCCAGCGAATTGAACGAGAGTCATACTAATGAGGAGAATGTGCAAGGAGATTTACAGGGGACTGATAATGCCCTGCCCGCGGGCGACGAGGAGCAGCGAGAGAAATTATCGCGACTGCCCCTGGGAAGGATAAAGACGATCATCAAAATGGATCCTGAAGTCACTTTAGTCAATCAGGAGGCTGTCTTTCTGACAGCGAAATCAGTGGTGAATTAATATTGCGTAGTAATAAATAATTAATTTTGCGACGTATTGATTCAATTTTTTTTAATAGGAATTATTTATCGAATCGCTTGCGAAGGAAGCTTATAAATATACCGTGCAAGCAAAGAAAAGGACTGTACAAAAACGCGATGTAGAAAGCGCGATTGATAACGTCGATGCGCTTGTATTTCTAGAAGGTATGCTCGACTAAACTTTATAATGTAATTATAAATCTGTTGTGTTATAAAGTTGGAGAAATTTGTATCATAAAAATATATTTTTTTACTCTATTAATAAAACAGCAAATAATATTAATATTTGTAAGCATTAAGTTCTATAAACTTTTAATAAAGTAGGAAAAATTGATATATTGTATTAAAATAATAAATTTACATGTAAAGCCTAGACATATTTCATTCATATAAGAATGTTAATTAACAATAAGAATGTTTTTTTTAAATTTATTTCTTTTTTATAATAAATTTAAATCTTATAGATGCAACAAGTCTAATTTCTTTCTAAGATTTAATTTATAATTCATTTTATTTTAAATTAATATGTTAATATGTAAGCCACACTTTATTTTAAACTCATTTATTATGTTTTTTTTATCGGTACACAATAGATTGTTTCATATAGTAAGATATTTCTAACACTTTGCAAAAGAAAAGTTACTGTAATAACTTATAGTGATAAATTATTTTTTAAATGTTAAAATTTATATGTATAAAAAGTATTTTTACAATCAAACCTTTGTATTCTGCATCTATAACATCTTAGCCATATTTAAACTTAATATACATAAACACTTCGTGTATTACTACTTCATAGGTGTAGAATGATGTACATGACTAAAGTCACATTTTCATTCTACATGTATTATTAGAATAAAAGTAGGCTGATAAGAAAAGTTCAAAATATAAAGAGATTGTTGATCCCAATAAATTAAGAATACAGAGGTTTAACTGTATTTTAATGCATACAGACACAATGTTGATCATTGATGAAAGGGATAATATTTGTAACATTTTTTTCCTGTACTATTTGCATAAAACACTTGCCAGGATAAAATTGTCATAATCTCTCTGTTCCTACCAATAAGTTGTATACTTTTCTATGAGCTACAATTATGTATGTGAAAGTGTAACTTCTGTAATATAACATTGCATCATGTAATGTTTCTTCTATCCTAGAACTCTATATATTTAAATAAAAAGAGAAGATATTGGGCATTAGTTTTTACCTGAAAAATTCCAACTATTTCCACACATAGCAGAGTATATCATCAGAAATGTTTCTAACTATATTTAACTTATATAAGTAACAAAAAAAATGAGAAAAAATCAGTCTTTTTCTTGCCGATTCTTTTGAATTTGAACTGAGTTACTTTTTTCGTAGAAATTATTGTTTATATTAGATGTATATACTTCTGTTATTAAATTAATATTTAAAGAAAAACTGAAATTAAAGAAAATGTATATTTTGTAATATAATCTGATACTATATACTACCTTTCTTTTAATTTTGGAAGAACATAAAATTTTGCATATTATAAATAGCTATGTAAGCTGTCTAAATGCATATATCAAAACATTTCAAATGTTCAGATATAACTTTGCAATATAATGTTTTTTTTTCCTACAATGATTATTTGGCATCTCTTTATCCATTATTTTATAACCTGGAAAGTCAACATATCATTATTTTAATCTGGTAAAATATTCACTGAATATATATTTTGCTCATTAAACATTTATTACTTTGTATCATGTTATTTACGATTTCTTCTAACCTTTTCGAATTTCTTAATTATGCCAATCAATTCCACATTCTATGTTAATATTTACTGCACACGATGATGTTTATACGTATTATTCTTGTGAACACAATCTTTCATAATCTCATATTGTGTATCAGTCAAATATTAGTGAGTTTTTATGAGAACATTTGTAATATCTACATGCTAGAGTTAATTGTTTATAGATAACATAAATTTAAGAGTGTGTGTAATATGCATTTATAATGCACGCTTCGTAAATTATACATTGTCAATATCAAATATTCAGAAGTTTGTCATCAACTGTCATCAGCTATTTATCTACTTCTTACGCTTAGTTTTACGTCGTCTGCAATCTCCTCTAAAAGAGTTTTGATCCCCCGATGTATTAGCACCGGCAGATTTGCTATGATTGTAGAGATTGTTTAGAAAATCCTCGAAATCCGCTTCGCTATCATGGAAAAAGAAAAAGAAGAATTTGTATTTGGGAAGAGAAAAGGGAAAACAAAAGCTAATAAAATTGCACGATAAGATATACCTTGTATTAGGATCTTGTTGCCGTTTTTTACCAGTGCTTGACGTTTGAGACGGTAATCTTTGCCCTAAGACAATTCTATACTGGACACTATGAGTGTTTGCTCTAAGATGCTTAAGATTACCAGCTTGGCAAGCAGCCCAGTCTGTCACGTCATACACTGCCCCTTCCATGCACGCATAATAGTGCCATAGAAAACCCATTAAACGAGATTCTGCCCAAATATCACCCTATGATATGAATGATATTTTGGACGATTAATTTGCAGACCCGTTAAACAATAAGCATATAAAAGATAAGCTTTGAATATATTCACTTCTTTCGCACTGTGACGTATCTTGCACTGAGCGCAAAATCGTGCAGCGTAACAGGGACGTTGCGTAGGAATGCGTTTGTGTCGTAAACCACAATTCGTACATCTTATTGTGTTTGCTGCCTGCTCCATTTTCCGATGGAGTTGAGACAACAAATCACTTAATTCGCCCCAAGCTGCTTCAACTTGCCTAGTCTGATCAAATGCTTGCCTACGTTCCTAAAATAACATTCATCATAAATACATATACTTCATAATTATTTGAACAATGCAGGTTAATAATATATAAATAAATAATATATAAATAAAGTTTTATATATTTATTAATCTCAATTTTGTATTTTATTTTAACATAAATAAAAAATAGACACATCATTACCGGTTCTCCAATGATATCAAAGGCATGTACAAGAATTTTGAATGCTTCTTCTGCTCCTGGCTGATTATTTTTATCCGGGTGGACTAAAACGGCTTGTCTCTTGTAATATTTTTTAATATCATCATCCGAACACGTTGGTGTAACGCCGAGTATGCTGTAAGGATCCTTTCCCTTGCACGCTAGTAATCTTTTCATGGCTTCCTCCCCAGTACTAGGTAACGCAATATTGGTTTCTAGGCCACCATGAATCCAGTTGCCATTATCCTCTTTTTCTTCATTTTTTTTATTATTTATCTTTCGCCAGAATGCAAATTTACTACTTCCAAACCAATAATCTAATTGTTTACCGATAGCGTTTAAAATACGAATTTTAGAAAATGTCACAGCCATATACATCCACGAATATTTTAAATAAAGTATAGTATGATACCAAGCACATTTACCACTGAAAAAATATAAAATTTTGTCTAAATACTTTTATACTGATATAATAAACTAATATATTTTAATATATTTTACAAAGAACAAAGAAATGATGCTAATTATGGTAATACTTACAGCTGAATAACCAAGTTTGCGCTCATACTAACTACATCAGAAATCAAATGTAGTAACCAATAAAAGATTTTCAATACAACTTTACTCCAACGAGTTGCATATTTATTTAAATTTCTACATAAATCCTTAACAGAAGATTCTCGATTTTCTCTTTTTCTATTCCTTTGCCCCTTTTTAATCTGTTGAGCCTTCTCAGCCTGAAGACGTTTAGGATTCTTCTCCTTGATAACCTTTTTATCTTCTTTACTGATACTCTTATTAATAACTTGTTGATTCTTTTCAATTTTTTCGGACGATACCGTCTGACTGGATGTATTAATCGTGTTTAAATTGTTGTTTATTTGTATTGGACGTTTTGGAATATTTCCTGAAGTTTTGGGATTATTGTTTTGTATTTTAGTGTTATTAAGAGTCTCGTTTTTTTCCGTTTTCTTAGACAGTTTGACAGGTTTCTTTTTTTCTGAGCAAAATTGATCAGATCTGTCAAAAGCATTTATCTGACGAGAATCGGATGGCGAGCCAAGATTATCCAAAGACACCCATCGCCTTGGAAGATTAGAAGAATTTTTTTCTAAAACTTTTCTAGGAATTTGCATCTTTGGAGAATTGTGATCATCGCTGCCAGATGAATTCTGTCTTTTCAATGATGCAGGTTTGTTCTTGTTTTTTGTATTTTTATTAGACACTTTCTTACCTGCTATTTCAATTTTTGGCTTTGTAGATTGGATTGTTAACGGAGATGGCGGTGTTGGGGCAGATTTTGTCAAAACATCAGAGTAAGAAGGTCGCATAGGTTTTACTTCTGCCACCATCCTTGGTTTTTTATATTGAGAATCTGATATATTTCTAGGTAATTCATCAGTTTCTCTTATATCCGGTACAGATTGTGGTACAGGTGTGATATTGGGAGATCCGCCAAATGGACTATACGTTCCAGACTGATTTGGTACCCAATTGCCAACTAAATTGTCAATTAACTGTTTTCCATTAAAATTTTGACTCGGTAATTCAGATGGTATAGTCATATGTTGATCATTAAACAGACCATACTCTTGATCAACAATGCCTTGATTAGCATATGGTGTTATGTTTGGAAGCTGACATTGCTCAGCCATAATCTGGGAAGCATTTCCATAAATAACATTGATATAATTTCCACCTCCGACATCGATAGTACCAATTAAATCATTATTCTCATTGATGCCCAAGTGATTTACTGTCCGCGGTGGAAAGTAAATCGACTCGGCAGGTGCGGCTTCATAACCCGGCATATCTCGCATATACAAAGAAGTGGTCATTGGAGTGATCGGTTGCATTCCAGAAGAATTAGGATGCGTTGGTTGACTGGGGATGTGATGTCTGGCTTGTCCAGGTGTATAATCGTTCCAATTATGAGAGGTGGCTTGCTGCGGGGTAACGCCAAACTGAACATAATGACCGCTTGAACTTTCTAAATCAGCAGTCATAGCTTCGATAATCTTATCCAATGACATATGTTTAAAACCAGGAGGTGTTTGTTGTTGTTCTGCCATTTTGTTTTACTCTAGAATAAAAACAAAATAAGTATATTATTACTAAATCATTCCAATAATACTTATAAGTATGAAATTTATTTAAAAACAAGTAACGTAGCACTTTCTTTTTACTAATCATTTTTATACTAAAAAGTATAATATGTAAAGTACAATAAATATGGTACGTTAATATAAGTATAGAATAATATAAGTAAGAACTGATATTTTGGATCATATTGATCCAGAATTCACAATATGTCGCGATATTTTATTTTTATTTGAATATGTATTACATTTTATCTTCTCTAAATATACGCTAATGACACGATGTTGGCCGAAAATTGCAAGATATAAATACGTATTCTAAAAATGTCCACCCTACACTGCATTAATCATAATCATAGCGTTGAAAATAACACGTATTAAACAACGCCCGTCACTTCATTGCAATTTCGAAATACTCGATAACATATATACAGCTTTTTTTTCGCACTCGTGAGATAAGTTAAGTAATCACCGTCGAGGAAATATCACGATCAGATTTTATAACCTAAAACAAACGGGATGTCAGACGGCAGACGTCGATGCTGAGCTCACGTTCACCGATAGGTGAATTCTTTTTCACGATGCTTCCTTACATCCTCGACGTCTTTGCATCGGCAATAAAAAAAAATTTATATTCGATGCGAAATACTCGACTTTACGTTATATACCACGCGGTAAGCGCGAAATCTGACATCATATTCATTGGTTATCCGTCCATTTCCGTCCGCCAATTCGGAGATATGTATAGATTCTCACATATATAGATCACACGTAAATATACATTCTTTTCGCGAAGATTGACGTAACACGAAAGTGTGTCTAGATGGCGGCTGTCCAATTAAGAAAAAAAATTATGCAATGGAGATTTGATATAATTACTGATTTTATCTCTCTGTTCCCTCTCATTATTTTCTATGTGTCAATTTTGTCAACAATACATCGCGATAATAACATTGTTTCGACAATAACATCCGCTATACACGATGCGATCTTTCACACTAGACTGCGTGCAATCTAGTGAATTGCTGCGCAGACAATGCTTTTAATAACTTACTAGATCTCAGTACGATGGATCCGAGTAAATATACCTTGCGGCCAATGACAGCGACCATGCGATGCGCATGCGCGAAAAGGCGGCCACGAAAATAAAATTAGTTAGCGCAGAAATTTTTTAACGGACGATAAGAACGATAAGGACTTGTTAAATAAAGATAGAAATCTTAGGTAAGTTATCGTATATATATTATTATAATTTTAATAAATTGTACTTATACAATATATGAAGGTATTTAAGTTTGTAAAAGAGTTTAGTTAAATATTTCGATCCATCGTATATCTTTCGAAAAACAAAATCAAAACAACATTAATTCGGCATTCGAACCAATTCGAATTTAGAGTTGATTTGTTTTTTTATAAATATTGGTAATCGGTGAAGATCAATCATCAAAAAGAGAAAATGTTTTCCGATCTTTAGATCTATAAGTCTTTAGATCTATAAGTTTTCCTCAATCAAAATGGATCGAATCGAAACGGTGGATGTTCCTAATGAAATCTTTGAAGTGTCATCAACCAGTAGCGAGGAAATGTAAGTTGAAATTCTTTTTTCATTTTTCTTTTTTTTCATGAAAAAAACACTGCCACGCAAATACAACATTAAAATAAATGCAAACAAAAATGTTTTTTACGCATAAAATGAGAACAATAAATGACAATATAGAATTAATTCTTTACAAATAAATTTATATCAATGAGCAATTAATATTACTAAACTAAAAAAATCAATTATTAGCGAAGAAATACAAGAAGAGATAAATGACAAATTAATAAGAAAATTTCAAACTAATTATGTAAAGTACAAATATCTGTTAAACTTCAAGAGATGGCCAATCTTTGAATTTTTAGAACTGGAATTCATTTTACAAATTCGTATGGCTATGATATTTTATGGTAAACAAGCATTTTTTTATTGTTTTTACTTGATAATATATTATTATTTATACTTTAATATATTTTAAAACAGGTGAGGCAATTTTAATTGTAACGAGAGATAAAATGGTATATGGCTTTGGTAATAATATAAATAAATGCTTAGGAATAGAAAACAACATTGTTGCATTGCAGCCAGAAAAAGTACAAGTCTTATGTGGGAAAAATATAAAAAAATTTGTTTATAGAGAGAAGGGACCTCAGATGTTTGCACTTACAGAAGAGGGAGAAGTAAAATTATATATACTGAAAAGTTATTTATAGTGAAAATAACTAAAATTCATGTGTTTTTATATTTAAATTATATATATGTATTACACTATATCTTAGTAAGCTACTAATTATAATTTCTTATAAAATATAAATTTATTCATTTAATATAAATTTAAAATCAAGAGAGTACATTACATTAAAAAAAATTATTTTCATATATATATATATATATATATATATATATATATATGAAAATAATTTATATATATATATATATATATATATATATATATCAGAATATACATATCAGAATAAAATATATAAACATGAAAAAATTTCACTTTAAATTTTAAAATTAAAATAAAATAAATTTCAAGATACATTTTGAGATGATTTTTTTCTATCTCCGTTGTACAAAAATTAGAAATTGATATAATTTTTTATATTTAATACATTCATTTTCTGTTTCTCTCTCTTTTTAATTTTAAAACAGTTAATATGTATTTTTATGTATTTAGCTTTTTAAAATCACATGTATTTTACTTAATAAATACATATCAAATTAAATTATTGTTATTAAATTTTGTGCATTTAATAACAGCCACTTTTTATAAAATGAATTTTATAAATACAAATTAAGTAACATAATAAAAAATAATATATATGAATCATATAGATAATTTTTGTATGAGATATTCAAATTATATTAACTCGTGAAAGGTGTATTCCTGGGGTAATGCTGAAAAACCTGGATTGGGACACACATTTAATTTGTACGAGGATCATGCCAGGAAAGTGAGAATACCTACTCAAATAAGTCTATTAAGTAAAAAATGCATTACAGACATTAAATGCAGTGATCATCATACTCTTGCTCTTACCAATGATGGAGAGGTATTGTTTAAAATATGACAATAATATTTATTTATTATACGTTATGAGTTTAATGACTTATGTTATTTTAGGTATATATTTGGGGGATTACAAATAGAAATATAAAGGGGATTTTAAATAAAAACATAGGATTATATTTCTCTCAAGATACACCAAAGCAAGTAGATTTTAATGGCAAGAAAATTGTTCAAATTGCTTGTGGCAATTACTTCAATATGGTTCTCTCTGATGAAAATAAAGTATACAGTTGGGGCAATAATATCTCTGGTGATGTGTTGAGAAATAATATTTCCATCACATTGCATCAACTTGATCGTGAATTAAATCCACATCAAATTGAGTTCTCAGAGGAAAAAGCAAGTAATTCTTTTATTTCTAAAGTTTGTTTTTAAAAATTTACATCGAGAGTATTTGTAAATCACATTGCTAATTGATATGAATATTTCAGTTAAACTAGTTTGTTGTGGAAATACATATACATTAGCACTCACAATCGAAGGGGAAGTCTATGGCTGGGGTAATAATGATTATATACAAGGCTTAGATAAGGAGGACTCGAATTTGAATTATCCTACTTTGGTAATTAATTTATTATTGTAATCAATGATAAAGAAATTAAGAAATAAAAAATCAAAGAATTTTGTAATTTAACAGTTAGATATGCCAGAAAAAGTATTGGATATTGCCATTGCACAAGATAGTAAAAGTAATATTATCCTTGGTAAAAGTGGATGTATCTATTTGTTGGGAAAGAAGGTATATTTTGGTCAGAAGTGTTCTTGTCCGACTATTACATCATTTTTGAACATGAGTGAAGCTTTAATGTTTGTTAACATGCCGCTGACTGTATTTGCGGATGATGATTTTAAATACATGGATGAAGAGATAGATGTATTAAAATGCTGGGAAACTTTATTCGACAATCCTGTATGTCTCGTTTTCTATTTATTATTTCTGCACTTTTTCATATTTTTAAAATAAATAAAAAGTATACATATGTGTATGCGTATAGATTTATTTTGATTAGCAAAAATTTTTCTGAAACTAATATATTCTCTCTCTGTTTCTTTAACTTTAGTGAATATTTATACACACAAATCTGTATTAGATTAAAGGCATTTATATATTGTCATATCCCATATTATATATTTTGTATTTGATTGTAAATCTAGTTATATATTATTATATATTTTTATATATGTGTGCTTGCATACATGTGTACATACACATTTGTGTCTTCAATTATTTTTATTTCTCCTCTTAAATGTAGTCATCAAGTGATCTCACAATACAAGTGGAAGGGCAACCCATACATGTTCATAAAGCTATTTTGAAGAAACGTAGTTCATATTTCAAAACCATATTCCAAGATGACTCAGTGAAAAATCAAATAAAAAGAAAGAAAAAAGAAAAAGAGTAAGAAATATAAAAAAAACTATTACTATTTTTAGTAAGAAATTTTTCAATATTATTTTATGTTCTTCTCTAACAGTGTCATCGAGCATTTTGAATATTCTTATATCGTATATAAAGCTTTCCTGAAATACTTATATACTGATATAGTCGATCTATCTGTGAAGGAATTACTAAGTAGGCTCTTACTAAATGCATCTGAATATATTACATATTTATATTCTTATATAATATAATCACAATATATGTTTGCAATTAAAATCATATCTTTCTACAGAGCTATTGGATTTAGCTATCGCATATTGTGAGAACAAGCTTGAGAAATATTGTAGGCTGGAAATAAAACGAAAAACTACCGTATGAAATGTAGCCTTTACTTATAGCACTACAATATAATAAAATATGATAAGAAGGTAACACTTTGCAAGTTAGTGTTAATGTTAAATATTAGATTTTATTAATTAACATGTCACAAATATTGTATGATTTTCAGGATTATTAGAATTTTGCTGTAAGTTTGCTCTGAAACATGAAGCAGATGTGATACGGACGGAATCTTTCGATCAATTAGATAAAGAAATTCGAGATGACTTTTCAATTAAAATAAATAAACACTTAAAAATAATAATAACTCTATATTTTAAGAGTATATTTAGATGAAAATTGAATAGAATTATTATATTCTTGTATATTCTGTAGGTTAATAAGAAAAGTTTTCATTATTTCTTATCATTATTATATATATAATAGTTACAAGCATATATATAAGTATATATAGTATACATATATATATATATATATATATATATATATATAAAAGTTATAAAGTAATAAAAAATAAATCTTTGAATCAAAATCTATCAAATGCAATTATGGACAATCATTTTTTCGCTAATATAAAAAATAATTTTAATATTTAGTTTCACTATGTATATAAAAGTTTAAAGTATAAAAAATATATAAATATATATATATATATATATATATTTATATATATATATAAATATATAAATATAACATAAATTTATATAAATTTATACAAATATATAAATTTAGTATACAAATATATAAATTAAGTATAAAAATAAATATATATGTACATATATATGTATATATATGTATATATGTATATATGTATATAATTATTTTTATATTGATCAGAGTTATATATGTTTGAAAAAGAAATATTGAAGAAAATTATCAAGTGTATTCGATTTATATGAATAAAACTATATATGTGCTAGAGATATATGAATAACATTTATACAATACCTAAATCTGATATGTAATATATATTGTAATTCTATTTCTTTACAAATGCGCTAAATAAAAAAATGATTAGAAAGGAAAAAAAAGAATTATGTTAGATAAACACAATTAGTTAAATTAGATAAACACAATTAGTTTAAAAATTATATATGGAAATTATATAGATATTTAAAAATTTTATAGATAATCGATAAATATATTAAAATTCAATAGGGGGATGTATCCGTTTTATATTGGAAGAATTACTTCATTATTTTTTCGTCAACATAAACGCTACTATAATGCATTTTTAACGGATACTTGTTATCAGCTTGTTATCGTTTTGATTTTATATAACATGATGTTTTTTTAGACACTTTTAAGTGATATTTACATAAGTATTGTTTACATCTTTCCTTTTGGCATTGTAAGCGTTCATAGACAGTATGAAAACATCATCATAACATTATAATTTCTGCCACAAATGTTTATTTCGTCGGTGACTATACTGTTTAACGGTTGAGCTTGTGAACAAATTGAACATCTCTTTCTGTCTATTTAAACGCCATTTTTGACTAAAAATATTTGGCATATTAGTGTTCAAACTCCAATATAAAAACAAAGGAATATCACATTTGCTTGAGGATCTTTAGTTATATTATAAAATAAGAATTATATTTTCCTCGTGTGCTTTGTAATTGGTAACCAATATCTATAATCTATTAGCAAAGAATTTAATTACCATCAAAAAGGGTGAGAGCATTTTTTTTATTTTTAGATCTAGAAGTCATCTCTTTTGGTCATACGCAATGAGTCAAATCGAAACAGAAAAGACAGATATTCCTATAAACCATAAAAAAAAGGAATCAAATGAGAAAGAGTATGTTGAAATTACCAAAGGATATCTTACTCATAAATTGCGTACAAAGTCAAGATAAAACTTGATATAGTAAAAATAATGTGTAAATGTTTGACTTGTTCTATTTAAATTTTTATAAAAAATGAACTTATTAAAACTCATTTAATTTTTGTGTGTAAAAACAAAGATTTTAAAATTGTCGCTCAATACATGCCTTAAAAAATATTCTAAATCGTTTAACGTAACATATGCAAAAATTAAAAATTTTATACTGAGGCCAAATACAATATGATATGAATATGTGCTTTAATCATTTCATTTGAGATTTGAATTGTAATATAAAATTATTCTTATTGTAATATAAAATTATATCTTTAACGCTTTAAGTATTGTAAAGTAATTCAAATAAAAATTTCAAATATTTAAAGCAGATCAAACATTTATCAATTAATTTATCAAACTTGTTTTAATAAGTTATTAAATAAATTAAAAAATTAATATTAATAGAGAGATACAGAGTGACAAGACAATAAGGTTGCAAAATAATAATCTTGTTAGGAACAAATATTTATTGAACTTCAAGAAATGGCCAATCTTTACTCTACTAGAAGAGGAAATTCTTCTGCGAATTGATCTGGCTTTGATATATAGTAAAATTTCTTCTTACTTTTTATTATCTTTTTTTGCTTTGACAATAACATTTATATTTTCATATATTTTCAGATGATGGAGCTTTAATTGTAACAAAAGATAAGATGACATATGCCATAGGTTATAATAAGGCTCATCGATTAGGGATACCAGAGAGAGATATTATAATATCACGGCCAAAAAAAGTAGAAATCTTATGTAATAAAAATATCAAGAAGTTTACTTATGGATATTATATGTTTGCTCTTACAAAGGAAGGAGAAGTATGCTAAAAAATTATAAAGTTAAAATTATTTAAATGTTTTTATAGTTTATATTATATTTTATAAAGCATTCATGTTATAGAGATAAATTTTATTATATATAAGCATAAAATTTTAAATACAATAAGCATAAAATTTTAAGTACAATAAGCATAAAATTTTAAGTACAATTATTATCTTTTTAAATGAAGCATATAGATAAAGAAAAAGATTAACTTTGAATTTGAAACTTAAGAAGAATTTTGTGATGTTTTTCTAATATCTTCATTGTAAAGAGAATAGAGATTACAATATATAATTTTTTATATTTAATATATTCATTTTGCTACCTTTGAACCTATTTTAAAATTAATGTATTTCTTTCTTATATGTTTAGTTTTATAATATCGTATGGATTTTATGTTATAAAAATTTTATGTTTTTACATTGACACCGTTGTGATTTTATAGAGAATTGACTGTTTTATAATAAATTCATCAGATTATATGTAATATATATGCTGAAATAATATAAATTTATTATTTTCTAAAATTTTTTTATTCATATATTTTTATAATCAAATTTTTTTATTTTCTGTTTACAAAAGTAAGTCAGAATGTATAAATAAAGTATTAAAATTAATGACAACATTGTTTTTTTAAAAGGTATATGCATGGTATTATAAGTTAGAGTCTATATTTAACGTAAGATATGCTAAGATCCTAACTAAACCTATTAAACTTGAATTAAAAAAGAAACATATTATAGATATTGCTTGCAATGAAGCAGATTTTCTCGTTCTTACTGATGATGGAAAAGTATATATTTTTAGTATATATGTGAAATTTAACAATAATATTTATATCATTATCAGTTAAATAACTTAGATTATTTCAGGTATATATATATAGTCGGTTTGATATCGTATACCTTCATCCATTACGGTTAGCATTTTCTTCGGAGTCAGAATCAGAATCGATAAAGACATCCTCTTCCTCAGAGACACAAATTCCTTACATACAGGAAGAAAATTTTGATAAAAATAAGATCATTTGCATCGCTTGTGGCGCGTCTTTCATTATGGCTATTACTGATATGGGTGAAATATACTACATTAGGGATCTTCATTTGAGGGATTTTCCTTGCAGTAATTCTATGCTGAATGACAATTCAAGTAATAGAGTTTATGATTTTTGTGAACGTAAGCGATTTATAGAAAAGCGCACTGAGCTCTCAAATGTAGTAATAGGTAATTTGTTACTAAAATTTAATTTTCAAAAATATATTAATAACACATATTGCTAAACAACTGATATTGATTTTTAGTTAAAGTAGTCTGTGGACGTGCACATGCATTAGCACTTTCGAATGAAGGACAGGTCTATATCTTCAAAAATAATTGTTTTAACTTGGTAATTCATTTATTATTTTATTTAGTTTTATTTAGTTTTATTTTATTTTATTTTATTATTTTATTTTATTATTTAGTTTTATTTTATTTTATTTTATTTAGTTGTCACAATAAAAAAAGCAAAAATCAAATAATTTTGTGTATTTATTATTTTATTTAATTTAATTTAGTTTTATTTTATTTTATTATTTTATTTTATTATTTATTTTATTTATTTTATTTTATTTATTTTATTTCACAATAAAAAAAGTAGAAATAAAATAATTTTGTGTAATCTGCAGTTGAACATACCGGAATTGCAAAAGATATTGGACATTGCTGCAGTATATCACAGCGACAGAAGTGCCATTCTTGGAGATAATGGACATATCTATGTATGGGGCAATTATTTTGGCTGCGATATAAAATCTCCGATTGTTACTCAGTTTTCGACCATGCAAGAAGCGCTTAGGCATAATATAATTGACGCATATCCGATAATTTTATCTATGAATGAACTTGGATACATAGATGTACAATCAAATATCCTGGAATGCTCTCAAACTTTATTCGACGATCCTGTATGTCTCGTTCTATGATATTTGGTGTTTGTCATTTCTGCATGCCTTTTTCGCGTTTTTAATGTAAGATAATGTGTATTCGCACGTTGATGTATTTAATAATTTTCGTTTCTTTCTTCATTATAGTCGACAAGTGATTTTACAATACAGGTGAAGAATCATTCTATTTACGTTCATAAAGCTATTCTGCGTAGTCGTAGTGAATATTTCGAGTCAATGTTCCGTAATTTTAAAGAAAAAGATCAGAGGTAAATATTTACAAAAAAACGAATATTATTTTTATTAAAAACTTCTTTACTAAATTAATTTCATCATACTTTGATGTTTTCTCTCGATAGTATTTTGACGCTGCCTTCCGTATATTCCTATACCGCGTATAAAGCCTTTCTAAAATACTTGTATACTGGAGTGATCGATCTACCTATGCATAAATTATTAAGTAAGCTTTAATTAAATGTGCTGTATTTTTGCTGTACGTTTTTAATTAAAATAATACTTTTGCTTATAGAGTTGTTCAAATTAGCTATGATGTTGTGTGACACTAAGCTTATAAGTAGTTGTATACGAGAAATAAAACGAAAAGTCACTCTAGCAAATATAATCTTTGTTTACAGTACTGCAATGGAATATAATAATGAGGTAATTATTGCATGTACAATTTAATATCAAAATTAAATTAATTGCTATATTTATTTGTATATATATTACAAATATAATGCATGAATTTTTTCAGAATTTAAAGAAATTTTCAATCAAATTTGCTGTGAATTACATGTTGTCTACAACACAGATAGAATCTGACAAAGAAATAGACGAAAATATTTTAGAAAGTTTTAAAAAGGAAATAGCAAATGCTAAGAGTGCTTCTTGATTTATAAGTTAAGAGTTCCTGTGAATTTAAATGCAGTAGAATGAAACTAGAACATTCTTGTTCTTATATATCTGTGACATGTTCATAAAGAACAATTTTACTTTATTATTACAGTATTATAATCAAATTTTATATTCATAATTTCTTTATAAAAATGCACGCTAAATAAATCTCTGTTTTTAAAATTCAATTATGTTGTCATCTCTAATAAAAATGTCAATCAATATATCTATCTAATATAAAAAATTGTAATTAATAATTGAGTCCTTGATTGTTAGAAATCGTAAATAATATAATATAAATAATAAAAATTGTATGATTCGAAAAATTAAATTTTCTTAAGGAAAGGAGAATCTTTTCATATATAATAATTATAAATATTAATAATTACTAATATAATAATTATATATACTAATTTAATAATACTAATGTAATAATTTTAGTACTTAGTTTCTTTGAGCTACTGGCTAGAAGGAGAAAGCAAACGATTGAAATTTCGCAAATATTTCACAGATATTTTATTGATGCTGCGCATGCGCAAAAAATTCAAACATTTGTCAACACGTTGGGTTATGTTCGAAAATCCATGGGAATAGAGTAATGTATGATTACCCAATTGAAAGAAAAAGAGCAAAGATTTCTCTGTCCTGATAGGTCAGTTGAACGCTATTCTAAGCGACGAGTAGATTTTCGAACGCAACTCAAGAATCCCACGGAACTGACCGAAGCATGATGATGAGTAAGTATGAAATTCAAATATTCAAAACATATTCGAAAGATAAACTAAGTCATGTAGACTATTTCAATAGACTATTTCATGATTTCTTTATAGAAAACTGATTTTCATAATTTACAAATACGCGATCCAGAAATATCGCTGTCACACATATGGACTGAAATAACAGCCAAGATCGGCGAAAAGAAACGTAAACGTAAACCTCGATGAACCTTGTTTACATACTTCGGTGCAATTCTCAAAGAATTCTCTGGATATAATGGAGCAAGCAAGATGGAATACACCTAGCAAAGTGCGAAGAGTCGATAGCCCTTTGATAAATAATCTCTGGATGTATAGGACACCGGTGAAACAAAACGAATTGCGGTTAAGGCGACCTTTTGAATCTCACAATCAAAATAATGCACAATCTTTACCTTTTACCGGTCTATCGACTCACATCACTCCACCATCCAAGCTTAGGAAGCTCATTACTAAAAATCCATTTGAACCTGACTTGATTAATAGACTGCATCTACCTGTCATCAGCCCAACTATATTTACTAAGGTCATTCTATCTACAAGAGCTGAATGTTTTAAATTAATTATATTCTGCTGATAATTAAAATGCTCTAATGGTTAATGTGATGTGAGAGTTTGTTGTTGCAATACGTAGGTATCGAGCCCTATGCAAGAGTCACCAGGATTTAAATGGAACATAGATGAATTAGCGCATATGAAGCCAGCAAAGATTGAAGAGTTTCCTGTGCATCAAGTACATACTCCGGACCCAGAACTGGAGATAAAAGCCCAGGCAGCTATAGATAGGTTCTTTAAGCAAAATTATATAATTCCAAGTCCTTGGGATATCAGACAAAAAGAGACTAAACCATCCTTGAATACTCCTAATAGGCCTCTGGATGATTTAAATTCTACTAAAGATCTTTCAAAATCAAAAAAAGAGGGTAAAGAAATAAATAATATAGAATTGATATCTTAAGATTGATTAATTAATTTTACTAGTATTTTTTTTATTTGTAGCATGGAGTCAGACAGTATTATCTTTACCTTTTAATCTACCGCAAAATGTTGAAGAAGCCTTGAAACCTTTCTTCACATTTACTCAGGTTGGTCTTTGATAGATAAAAGTAACTTGAGGTTGATTATATAAAATTGTTAACAGAAATCTTTTTATGTATTCAAAAGGAACAAAACACAGATGGTGACGATGTAAATTTAAGTTATAATTCACTAAGGAGAAAATTAGTTTTTAATCATGACGAATATACTGATAATGACGGTTTTATATCTTTATCACCAGTTAAAACAAATACTTCCATGACATTATCCTGTAGTCCTCCACAAAGTGGTATGTTTGTCTATGGCACACCATTAAAGGTATGTGAATTATAGTAATTTTGGATAATTATTTTTATATATAAAGGTGTTTATTTTTTTATTTCTGCAAATAAGATTAATTAGTATATAATTGTTTTCTTTTCATTTATATGTTATTTATTATTAAAATTGATATGTTTCAGAGGTTGTTGCAAACTGAACAAAACAAGTCATCTGCAGTAAAATCTAAAAGTATTTCCCCACCTGACATATCACCAATACATACTACGGAGAACAATGTGTTGTGTGAGAAAATTGCACGCAGTTCTCGTTCAGCTATTCGTTTAGACTTTGCAATGGATATGAGTACAGACAATGTAGTTATGGGCAAAAGCGAAAATTCGATTAATGGTTATCATTTATTTTTACTTCTCAAATTTAAAGTTCTAAGTGAGAATTACTGCAATTTAAACCAAAATTATTTCTAATCTCAGTTTTGGAGTAAAATATAACTTATCCTATATTTAATGTTTAGAAAAACACTTTGAACAAAAATACTTTAAAAAGCTTTGAACAAAAAATTATTTCTTCAACTTCAGAATAAAAAAATGTTAATATATGTGTATGTCTTATGTTGTTATTATATACATTATATATTAATAATTCTGTGAAATTCTGATTCAAGTTTATAGTGGAATTTTTTATAAAATATATTTGATATAAGAAAATGTTTTTTTATGCAAGTATATTTAGATTTCATTTAAAATAGCAATGAAATAAGCATAGAAAGTGGATTATCAAAATATAACTTTTGTTAAAAGAAAATAAATCATAGGCATATGTTACACTATTCTTTCTAAATATACAGATATATTCGTATAACAATATTATTTTTAAATTGTTTTAGATACATCCTTGGATAAGAATGACATGAAACATACTGAAGACAATCATGAAATAATAAGCATACATAATGATGAAACAAATGTATGTGATTCTATTAATATGGAAGAATTACCAAGATGTATAAATTCAGTTAATATGGATACTGTGTATTTCGACGCTGTCCTATTCAATGATAAAGAGGACAATAATGATATAGATTTAAAGATTAAGACTGAAATAAAAAATTCTGTGCAGAAAAATCACAGACAAAATAACACAATGTTTGGCACGTTTGATCAGCAAAGTATTTCAAATTCAGTTCAAGACACTGGTTATCAAACTTATAGTATGAATAGTACAATGCATACAGTGGACAATTATAGCAATATATCAGTGAATTACAAAACTCATAGGAACGAACAAGTAACATCTAAAAATAACAATACTCAACTATCTTGGAGAGAGAATATAGGAAGTGTATTCAGTTCCACACCATCCAAATGTAATAAGAATTGAATAATTCGAATCTATATAACGAAAATTAGATTGCAATATTCAATTTACAATTGATTTTAGCAAATGTAATAAATATGACTTTTTTTATCGTTAATCTTATATCTGTCTCTTGTATAAGTCAATTATATTAAATAATTTTATAAAGATTGTAATTTACTCAATAATTTTTTACTTGTTGACTTGATATTTTACAATTGAATAGTCAAATGAGATGATATTATCATAAATGTTTTAAATTATCAATTATTTTTTTATCATATATTGTATATTAAATTCTCTTTTCAAATATACTTTTATACTAATGTATCACATTTTTGTTTTATTTTGACAAAATATTAATATAAAATATTAATATAAAACTAATTATCTGGCATTTTTACTAAAAAAAAATTAGATTTCAATTTAAAAAAAAAATATATTTACAGATTATAACCATAATGTAAGTGGAATATTAATTACTATATTGATAAATAGAATATTAATTAGTATTAATGACATAGTCTAAAGAATATCTAGAAAATCAAGAGACAAAACTAGAGGTTTTGTTTTTTTTTTCTGAAAAAATAGTCAAGTAATTGAATAGAAATATGCATGAAACGCGAATAAAAATGATAAAAAAGAACGTTCTGCTAGATGTATTTTGTCTCCTTTTTTAATAAAGCATTGTAAACATCTCATTGTAGAATCTTCGGTGTTGGATTTAGACTATGTCTATAATACACACATATTAAAGAAAAGATATTAGACAAAATAATCAACACATTTTGTAATTGTTTTCATTTGTTTCATTAGATAAAATTTTCTTGCGGTTACAGCCTAAAATATTAAATATACTCAAGATATATATAAATATATATATATATATATATATATATATATATTTATATATATTTATATATATATATAAGCAAGATCAAAAACTTAACAAACATTTTACAGCATGATTCTAAAATGAGTAATAATATAATAATAATAATAATAATAATAATATATGTAATATTATATATTACGCCAACAAAATTCTTATAATATACAATCTGTAGATATATATATGTGTATATATAAATTAACATATCTGATCTTCCAAACTCAAAGTATTCTGCATTTGGCACGATGTCATGTAATGGAGGCAAATCAAATACATCATGTCTTTTTGATTGTCCCTGGCTAGTTACAACGACACGCCCGTAATCTGCTTTGCTCCATAATCAGTGTTCTTTTGGTGTCTGTCATTATGTTGACTTCATTTGTCAGCCGGTCGTAATAATAGCACACTCTGAATAAAATGATAACTCGAAATGAATAATCAGTTTATGAATCTTTAGCACGATCGCGATGTTTAAATCGACACTAATGCACACATTAATATGCGCGATCTTAATACTTTTTCTCTCTCTCTTGCTTTTTACATAACGCAATTATAGAGTAACAGTCTATCATTTCGATTTTTCGTCTTGACTCTGCGATTGACACATTGCACATAAGCCCATTCCACCTACGAAAACCGGCTGACTAGAGTATTTCGCCCAATGTCAGGATTAACTGGTGTATTGCTTTACATTATAACGACTAATCGATTTATAATCTACACTTTATAAATCTATCGATTAGCTACTGTGTATCATGATGACGATGAATGGCATCCTCAATCTCTCTACGGCCGATTAATTTAGAATTAATTCTATGTGGAAGAACAGATCTTCAGTCGTAGCAAACAAACAAGCTAGACTAAGAGAATATTAACAAATCGTGAGGCTATAACGTTAATTCCCGTACAAATATCCATTTGAAAAGATGCCAGCTTGTTTTTTTTAATCGATATCGAGATAGATATTCGTATAAGGTGTGAGTAAGAATGCCAATTGATTAATAATATTCGTATTTAATAAAATTTTTTTGCTAAACAACATAATTTATAGAATTTTCTAAAACTTCAAATATACAATGAAGTATAACAATAAAATCGTATAATTGATCGTATAATTGATTTTTCAATATACACTATCACAGGTAATAACAATAAAATAAAGTTTTAATAAAAAATAAATTGCTTGCGCGATTGAATGCAACTTTATAAAATATATACGTAATATTGAGCAGAATATTTTTGAATATAATTACATAATATAAACACAATATGAAATAGAATCATTTAAAAAGCCAGGAAATACACAGGTTTTAGAAATAAATTTTTTGGCCATTTCCCAATTTTTAAAAAATTATTTTTTTAAGTAAATTTTCAATAATATCATATATATATATATATATATATATATATATATATATATATATATATTGAGCACACATGGCATTCTTTCTTTCACCTTGAATCAAATTTTTCCGGTGTGCAGTTATAAACTACAATCACATTAGATATTTGATGTAGCGCATCCTGTCAAAGTCCAATTTTTATGCGTGTTTTTTTTTCAGACTCTCCTTAAAAAATATTTCGCATTTACAAGATCAAGATTTCTTTATCAGAGATATATTTTTATAGAATAAAAATGTACTGTGCTGAATGTGATTCGCGAAAGTGTTAATTTATAATTTAAATTATGTATTATCATTGTAATAGCGCTTTCTACTGAATATTATTCTGAATTCTACATTATGTACATGTAATCGTGCAAACGAGACTAATAATAGTCTATGACGACGACGGATTCTTCGATCAATATTCAATTGCAAGATCGTCATAAGTAATTCTGCGCGTGTTTCGAAGCGACACAAATAAGATGCAGCTATAAAAGAGAAAAAAATTTCTAAGACACGCTTCGTCACCACAACGTGATATGTAGAAATCGATCAGGTTGCGCTACAACACAATAGTGTATTTTCATTTCAAATTACTAATATTTATACTTTGTAGTGATATTTTTAAGCTAATAAATTGCGTACCAGCGAATTAGTAGGAAGAGCCTTTATCACGCGGGCAGCGCCCTGTAAAAATATATGTTCTCTCTATATAGAACTACATATTAATGTATACAAGACCAGTTTGTCTAATTACTTTCTCTCTCTCGTTTGCGCTTTCTTTGTAGCAAGTACATATTTTACCACAAGTACATATCTTACAATTTACATGGTATTATATATCATATCTCTTTTTTTCTTATTCTCTCTCTCTCTCTCTCTCTCTCTCTCTCTCTCTCTCTCTCTCTCTCTCTCTCTCTCTCTTACATTCTTCTTATCATGTTATAGTTTTTTATAAAAATAGGTTGTATTTCCGTGTACCGCTATTTTTTTTTCATCCTTATTCGATCAATATTATTATCATCGATCATATATTCAATCGCTATATATATATATATATATATATATATATATATATATATATATATATATTCAATCTCTAACTGAATACCAAAACTGGTCTGTGGATACATTAGAAGGTCTACATATGTACAACAATGTTCAAAAAATCATCTTGAAAGCCACAAAGAGAGTATAGAAAAAGATATGAAATGATAAAGTTTCCTTCTCGTTTCAAAATCACGTTGAACGTGTATTGAATAATTTTTCTGACTTTTTTCTTTTATTTTTTTCTATTTTTTTTATTTTTTGATAATGCGTCTGCGTGTGGCACATATGTTATACATGTGCAACGGTGCACATGATTTGTTTATATACCGGGTTCTCCCAATTTCTCGTGAAAGAACATCGTGACGGAAAAACTGAACCACAAAAATGTGCATGCTTTTCATAAACGATAATTTTTTATCCACAGGAGTATAAATTTTGTGGTAAGAGATCTACGAATCTACTAATTATAACAGAATCCCGATAATTTTAATGTAGAAGCCGAAGAATAGAAAATTCATAAAGAAGATTAATTACATGTATATTTTTCTCTATAATGTTTAAAGTTGAAGTATAATCGTCAGCAAAAAACGTGTAAAGATTAATTAAAATTATCGAAGGTAAACATTTTGGAAAGGTTTTGCTAGATCCTAGATCTAGATAAATAATTTTGCATTTATGTAAATGGCGTATACATTTGTGTCTTTTGTCTAGCAAAGTATTGGGAATAAAAAAAAGACATGAACATTTCCGTCGCTCATTTTTGCACGTACTTTTACGTTATTTCTACGAGTAAATTGAGGAGTATCTTGCATATACGTATATACAGAATTCCTTTATTCTCAATCAGCTAAACTTTCATAAACTATATCCTATATTCGCGATGTCTTCCGGTTATTTCTTCACGTTTAATAATAAACGCGTAAAACAAAAGTGACTAGTGAAATTATGGACACATATTTGAACGCGATTGTACATTTTTATTCTACGCGTATGCAATCAACGAATGGAAAACGAGGGAAAAATCGCGAATAAAGAGGATGTTTGAGTCTGATAAGTTGAGAATAAAAAAGTTCGATTGTATATAGTGAATAAGTTTGTATCGGTTTAATGTGTGCTATGTGTACACATCTGCATATACATGCACATATACATACACTTTATATATATATATATATGTATATATACACATATACATAAAAATGTGTATATGTGTGTTTTCATATATATTATCAATTTTCTATCTCTCTCGAATATACGATTTGTCGCAGAAATAACCAGACTAATTTTTCTTATTTTGAATGAAATATGGTAATACATCGGATATAAGATGATTTACTATTTTCGTATTTTACCACGTCGCGACTTGAAAAAAGATTAGTCTTGTTATTCTCGACAGTAGATGTGCTAATTACGCTTCTATACATATCTACAAAAAAGAAAAATCGATATAGGACTTTATCATTAATTAAACTCTCTATGACTTAATATGTATAATCGTCTCGCAACAGTTTTAAAATGTGATTACTGTTATTCTCTTCAGTATGTAATAATAATTTCTTTCTTTGATACTTGACAAGCTATTCAATCGTATCATGTTTCAACAGTGTGTTTAAAAAGTATCTCTTTAACGCTACATCTCTATTATTGCTTGTTGTTTAGTGCTACCGAATGTATTTTGGCATATAGCATGTTGTAAACCCTGAGCAACCACACCGATCATTTCAAAATGCATTCAACAACCCTCTTCTTTCTAGCAAAAACTAGAAATTATGGAAGAATTTACATGCGCAATTCTGTATATTTACGCGATGAGAAATCGACTCGATCACACAAAGATATTTCCATAAAAATTGTTGCCACGTAATTTAGAAATATGAAGAATTTACAGACAATACTATGAAACGAAAGTGCTCCTTTTGTTACTAGACTTGTTACTAGAATTTTCAAACGTTTCCATTTGTCGCGCGTGCAAATGGAAATGGAAAGCTCTCGATGCGATATATTTTAAATGTAACAAAATTTGTTGATGTTAACCCCTAATCTGCTTTACACATCGATTTCCCTCTCCCCATTCTCGCCATCTTTTACGCCTTTTCTCAGAAGTACTTGAATAATCACTCGTAGCAGAGCGTCTTTTTGGTTTTGAATTACCTTCTAGTTTTGGCGCCGGATTAATGTCTTGTGTTACCGTGTGATGCTGTGTTCTATTGTGATTTAGTGCTGTATTAACACCGGCCAAATTCAGAAGCGCATCCGCACCTTCCGCAATTTTTCTCTGTTCATCAAAATCTACATTCAGTTCTTCCTCGCTCGAATGTTTGCTGTAGAGGTAAAACGGTAGAATTTATTTGTTTATGTAAATTTTGGATGGATCGTACGCAAAATTAATATATCTTTACCTTCCCAATTTTATCGAGGTAATACAACTATAAGTATGATCTTCGCTGGAACTCCTGGTGATCACAGGCACCAATTTTTCGGATTCCGGTAATTTTCGTTTACGATCTGCATTGAAGTATACATTAACACGCACATAGAAGAGCATATAAATTAATAAATATCTTCTCTCCCTCTCTCTCTCTTTTCAATACTACATCTCTACGTCTTTACTATCTTTTTTGTCCAATTAATAAAATGTAGATAGTGACTCTATTATTTCGTGTATACATATTTTCAATATATCTAATACCTTTATTGTGACTTAAAATGATGGGTCCATGTTTAAAAGAAAGCATAGCAGCTGCAGCTGCATCAACCTCACTATCTATCTCAGTTTCTGCGTTATCGCTGATATTGCTAGACGCCAGTCTTTTGGATAAATATGGGAAGAGAACCGGATCCGGGAGACGCGTATTTGCGCACTTTCTCGGAGGCTTTTCCGATGAAGACAAATTTTGAGTCGTAGGTGGAGGGAAAGGAGCGCGAGATAACGCTTGTATCAGATTCGGGCGATACTGTGCATCTACCATCCACAATGATCCTTTGCCTAAATTCTGAAGAATAGAAAACTACAATCAGCGATACAATATAATTTTATTTTATTTTATCATTATTTTTTTTCAAAAAAAGATATCTTATAAGGTTTGTTTACCGGAGCTTTCTCCACTTTCCGAAAGCACTTATTAAGGCTGAGATTATGTCTAACGGAATTCTTCCATCCAGTAGGAGCGTTCCTAAAGTATGGAAAATGATCCAGAATCCATGCATAAACTTCCTTGACGGGTAGCGCTTTTACAGGACTATCTTCGATGGCCATAAATATAAGGCAGGAAAATGAATACGGCGGTTTACTATTTCTGTGTAAATGAGGATCATATGGTATATGGGTAGGATGCTTGTTGCGATTAGACATTGGCAAATTATTGTTGCTCAAAGAAATCTTCGTTTGATTACTTGGCGAAGTATTGCAGTGACTTTTTGCGGATTCCTGATATACTTGCATTGATTTTTGACAATTCTTGGTAGAGTGTTGATAGTTTTGTCCGCCTCCGTTCAACGTTACAGCGTTGGTTTTTCCATTACTTTCTATTGTAACATTGTAAAAAGAGATACAGTTGATGAGAAAAGAAAAGAGAGAACAAATTGTAAGAAAATATTTGAAGCAAATAATAAATATATATTTCTACCTGGACAGAAACTATCATCTAAGCTTGATATAGAATTTGTGTTTTCAGAAAAATCCGCCATATCGTCGCAAATATTATTATTTAGCATATTTTCGTGCTTCATGTCTTTGGATGGGTTAGAAATATCTAAACCCTTAAGTAAATTTTGTTGATGCAGCCAACTGAGAGATGTTAACTCATCATCTGACTGATTATTTTTTTCGATGTTTTTTTCAGTTTTTTCACATCTAGAAATTTCGCTCTGACATTTATTTGTTGAATTCGAGTCGACCAGCACGCTGGCGTTTTCTTTCTCCTTGTCATTCATTGTGTAACCTGTTTCTCCAAAATTATAACCCTGAGTAGAGTTCAATTCTATGTCAGTTTCAATACCTGATGCATCTGGCCTATCTGGTGGCATGTTGCATGGAGTCTTTTGGTCACTGCAAACATATTTTTTTAAATTTTTGTTTAAATATCTATTAAATCATTATTATCTTATAGAAAAATATGATACATGTGTAAAAAATCATTCAAATTATTTTTAATTTATTAATTACAATCTCTTTTAGATTGTATCTATGTATGAGACATGAATTAAATATCATAGATGATAAATATCATTATAGAGAAATAAATATAACTATCAAATTATAAATTCTAAACTAATTAAATTCTATTTTATGATATGTATGTACTAAATATATATTAATTATGTGCAAAGTATTATAGAATAAAATTCCAAGAAAAATGGATCGCCAATTGAATTAATCGCCAATTAAAATGATTGCAATACTTTACAATACAAAATTTACTGTTAGGAGAAATTTCTTAATATTTGTAATCATTAAAAAACCTTATGGTTTTGAACTTATTTGTAAAAAAATAATTTCTCTCTCTCTCTCTCTCTCTCTCTCTCGCTGTTTGTTTTAAAATTGCATTGATTGTACAGTCCCTGCAAAAAGTGACTGAAAATATTAATATATTTTCGGATAAAAATAAATATACAATATATAAACAAATTTAAATCAATAATAAATTTTTACAGTTTATTTGTAATTTTTTGGTATCATTTCCTGTTCTTATAATAGCTTCGATAAAGAGTAAAATTTTGAAAACTTTTGGCATGGATATGTGTTATATGTAACTTGAAAAAAATATAAATATTTTTATAGTAAAAATACGCAAAATTCCAGTAGCTAATCTATCAATCATAATAATTGTACAAATGTTGAAGTATTTTTTTATAAAAAGAAAGTGAGATTTTGACGATTATATCTTTACTGTACATAATAAAATTATATTACCACAATCGCACATCATATAAAAGCTTCTACATTTTTACTAAAATTTTTGTGTGTGTATCACGTTTTAAATTGTCATCAAATTTTTCACTTTTAAAACAATTTAGAACAATCTTTAATTTTGTTCACTACCTTCAAGAAACCTAACAGTCTTAAGGAACGATTCATACATAAATCGCTAATCATTCTGCAGAATGATTGTGCTGAACTTGATGAGCGCGCGAGAGAGAGAGAGAGAGAGAGAGAGAGAGAGAGAGAGAGAGAGAGAGAGAGAAAGAGAGAGAGGACGCGGCCGCCGCGCGTTACAATATATCGTGTTACGGCGTCAAAAAAATCCCCGCGAAAACGGCAAGAAATAAGGGTCTGGCCGCTTTTCTATTTTCGGAGAGCGGCGCGCGAGAAACGCGCAAGAGGAGCGAGAGAGAGAGAGAGAGAGAGAGAGAGAGAGAGAGAGAGAGAGAGAGAGAGAGAGAGAGAGAGAGAAAGAGAGAGAAAGAGAGAACGAGAGCGAGAGATAGAGAGAGAGAGGACATTATAAAGGAGCATGGCGCATCTGGTGCTTCGAAATTGAAATCTCCGCGCATGTTTGTCGCGCTCGCGTAGCCTCGATGCCAGCGGCGATTGTTTATCCGCCGACATACATACGTATGTATATAAGCGACAAAATGGACGCGCGGCTATCACGCGGGGAACGCGCATCTCGGAGAATTTTCCATTTTTTTCTCCCCCCGGGTATCTCGCTCCTGCGAAGACAAACGTCGCTCCTGCCAGCGCGGCTCCTCGCCGAGCGTCTTTCGCGAAATTCGAACTTTTTTTTTCTCTTCCCCGAGAGGAATTTGCACGACCAATGGCATCCGCCGCGCCTGCTCGGCCAAGATTAAGAATAAATCGGCCGCCGATCGATCGCCGCTTCGCGAATCGCGATAACGAAATCCATCCGGGATCTCGCTGCGCTACTTTGCTCTGCTTCTCGAAATCGTACATCGCCGAAAGAGCGAATCGCGAACATCGTGAACATCGCGCACTCTCTCTTTCTCTCCTTTTTTCCTCCTCGGAAAAATCGAAACCGGTATAATTTTAGTCGACGACACGGATCTCTAGCGATTATTTCCGCGTTTCTACTCGATCCGGGATCGCGGCAATTTCGACGCGGAGATTGGAATTTTTCTCCCTCCCGGGTGACCCGTTGGGCCACGGATTCGATCGAAATTAACGCGCGGTTGTCGATCGCGACGTCAACACCCGAGACCTCGCTCAGCGAGCGGCCAGCAGCGTGGCGATCTGCATTACTTGTTGAATTCAAATATGGAGCTGATAATGATTACGAAACTCGCGAGGGGCAAACACGCGAAAATGGCCACGGCATCACTCGCTGCCACACATACACACGCGCGATATCAACATGCGTGTTCGCAATACGGCGACGCGTGGATGCACTCGCGAAGAAAATTACATAAGACAATAAATCGGATCGGCGAGAAGAGAAGAAGTCGCGGCGTCGCGGCGTCTCGGGCTCGAGATTTTCGGGCAACCCGTTTCCCCTGGCCCGTTTCTCGGCGAGGCGTCGCGTCGTCCTCGGAGGTGGACCCGTCCTCGGACGGCCCCGTCCAACGAGCTCTCTTCACGTGCGAGAGAAACCTCACCGTCACGTCGTCGTCGTCGGCTAGACGCGACATTTCGCGTCACCGCGTCACCGTTCGCCGTTTCTCGCCGCCGATCCTCGCTAGGGCTCTCCACCTTATTCCTTATGCAACCCTCGCCAAGGGGATCGTAACGATCGATTGGTACGCGCGGCGATCTCGGGAGAAACTGAACTCACGTATCTCGACGGACAGACGGCGGTCTCCGTTAGTTTTCTAAAGACGGGCATCGCAGGGCACACTCTACACAACATCCAGCTGATTGAGACGCCATGTTCTGACGTCATCACGTGCTCGCCAAGTATCACGCGTCACGCGTATCGCGATTCGATATCGTCGCGATTTCACGTGTCACCCGCGAATACACAAACGTGTTCCGCGTTATGTGGATCGTCCTTGCTGTTCTCGGAGGAGAATCCGATTTCGAGATGAGTCATTAGCTCCTCACATCGTCAGTTTTACTTCAATCGTATTCGAGATCTTTTACGTGTATAAAATATTTTAAATATCAATAAATTAAATATTAATAATTTTTTTCCTTCTCCCTCTTGTCAAAATTTTATTTTGTATAATTTTTTAACTCTCTCATGTAAAATAAACATAAAATTATCGTTATATATATATGTTCCTGAATAAAAATAGTCGAGAAAAGATAAATTAGGAATTTATTTCGAAAATTTTCTCACGCTTTATTTTTAACTGTTTATTGCATTGTACAGAATAAAATAAAATTAATAATCCACTTCTGAAAAAAAATTCGCATGACTTGCGCGTTACACGCGATTCCACATAAATACGTCTTCAAATGCTTTATCGATATTCAACAATTGTCACAGCCACAAAATTTACATTTTTCATAAACAACATTTTCTTAAAGCTACCTGTTACTTTTATCAGAAGATCAGATGTTGCACATATGTACAATCGTTAGTATGTCGCATGCGCTTTATATGTGTGTATATAAAATTCTTTTTTTATATATCTTACCATATAAATTTTTAATACTACAACTTTATAGAACATTTTCATAAATATAATGTTAATCTATCATTTTCTAATTCTTTCTCTTTTTTTTCACAGATATAAAATTGTATTAAAAAAACGTAGTGTACATGTTCAATAAGAGCTTCCGGAAATTACTTTTTTAAATACAATAACAATCATGGCACAATCATATAATTCTGTATATAATTCTTGATATCATGTTTTAATTATACAGAGATGCTAAACTAAATAAAGGTTTCAGCTTTTCTCTAAAGATTTTCCTTGCTTTTAAAAATTCTAATACCAATCTCTTAAATTACATCTTTCGAAATTTTAAATATCTCTATATATCTCTTATATATCTCTCTTTTTCTCTTTCTAATACATGTCATATATAAATATATAAATAATAAGACAACTATTCTTTCAGAAAAAATTTTATATAATATTTAATATTAAAAAAACTAAAATAATTTGTATATTATATATCAGGTAAAAATACTTAATGTTTCAAATCAAGGTGTTAAAGAAATGTTTATATAAAAAAATCAAATTTTTATTACATGTCAAAAAGATGTGTCCAAAAATCTATGGCTGATTGTAAATATTTAGTCAAATAAATTTAAGATGCATTCAATAATTAATTCAATACATAGCTTTTGTACATATTACAAAAGCGATTATGTATATGAAATAAGCGTTTATTTCATTTCGCAAATCTCAAGAGTTTTTCCGATTGTGAGATCTATATTTTGGGATTTTATCCTCTAAGAAGTATACTTTCAGTCAATTTCAGACGCAAGCATTGCACACCCTAACGGGATGTTCCCAGCCTCTGTGAGGTACAGGTTTACGATGTTGCGAACATTCTTGACACACCCCGCGTCCGCAAGCCCTACAGTGATGTAAAAGAAGCGTATCGGAAAACTTTCGGTCGCATACGCAGCAACTGACAACCTCCGAATCAGGTATCCAATAAGATGGTCGAACGGAATCTTTAATAAACGCTATATAGATGAAAAAAATTTATCAGTTTATTCCATAATGTGAAAAGAATTATGTAAATACATATTATTCAGATATAAATAAAACATTTTTTACTTACATTTGGAATAATTCAAGACAGTTCCGACGACATTGAGCGTTGACACTACGTGTTCCGTGACCTTTCGCACGCCAACATCATCTACAGGAGGCTCGAGGGAATCGTCACTGGAATTAGTTTCCTTCTCATAGCACTTGTCGCAGACTCGAACGGGCGACAACCAATTTCTGTTGGGCACGCACTTCGTCTTTGACGAACAGTGCGCGCAGAAACCTTCTCCGCAATCGCGACAATGATGTTTATCGTCTGTCGGACCAAACAAGTTTCTGCACTGGTGGCAATATTTTATCTCGCTGTTTGGCCGCCAATATGACGGTGCCACTTGATCCGCGGCCCAGGCTTTCAGCGCTTTTGTAGGCTGTAGAGAAACATTGGCAACCGCTTCGGTGAGGTATGAAACGCTATCGATAACCCGTTGCGCGGTATTTGGCGATATTATAGAACGATTTGGCTGAAAAAGAAGATAAGAGATTATTTTGAAAGATAAATATCAAAAATATAAAAATCCTTTTTCGATATTTACCAAATTCCACACATGTGTGATTCTTTTGCGTATAGCAATATCCTCCGAGTTATTGCCATACCAATATTGTCTGCTTCTATATATTTCTCCACAATGTGGACAATTTATAATATATCCCGACCAGGCACTTTTCGCTAAGCTATACCAGCTATATTGCTCTTCCTCTTCATACTGTCGAGTTACTTCAACTTCATTCCCATTCCTATAACATCTCTTGCATATGTATATCGAATTTTCATACTGACATTGGAATTTGCACCTATTACAAACATCAAAATTAATATAATTATATAGTAATTAAACATAACAAAACAAAACACTAGTATCTGAGAAAATCAACCTGGCATTACTACTGTGTGATTTTCCTTCACGAAGGTGTCCCATACTATTGTTGCATCCATTACCACAACTCAGACACTTAACAGAGCAAGTAAAGTACTGGTATGGAAATAAAGTATTGGACAAATTTTCTATTTCACTAGAAAATTGATCATTCAAATTTTTAAGCATACTATATACTAGTTGCGGCTTTCTGGCTGAACGGACCGTTGTATTTTTCAATTCGGCTTCGATCGCGGATCGCAGTTGTTCATAATTTGTTGTATTGTTTATCATCTGCAGCCCAACATATTTAATAGAGTTGAAGGCGTCAATTTCAAGGTTCATTTGTGCAAATTTAGCTTTCAAGACATCTTCTGCAGTTTCTGATCCATCTACAAAGAAAATGATAGATATATTATATTATAAATGATGACACAAATTATATTTATAAAATTCTCAGTTTGAAATTACTGTAATTTTGAGAGAGTAGCAATATGTACTGTTGGTCAAAGGTATGGTGTGTCTAGTTTCATGCAGCACTATAATACTTGGTCCAAGTGTGCCTAGCGAGTTAGAAATTCCCTCTTGTTGGCTTATCGTTTGTAAAGCAGCTTTGAAGTGATAACTGTAAGCATGGGATGCGGCACCCAGAAATTTGAACAAGTCTCTATTTAATCTTTCCGAGTAGATTCCATAAATCACAATATCAGATATTGCAAGTACATTGAGTAACAATCCTGTATGCTTGTTTTCACAGTTTGTAACACCTAAATGTAAACAACGTTTGTTGAATTTAATACAGAAGATTAAGTTTATGCCTGAATAATAATACATAAGACATATATACCTTCTGTATCTAAGCAAATAACATTCAAAATTGGATCAAACGCCGCCCAAACGCCTAATGTACAACAATCCTGCTCGTTTGATGTTTGAAATACCTCCTCGCCCTTGAAAAATACATGGTTCATACTGTGGCTTTTGCCATCACCTGTTTTTCCAAATATCGAAACCACTTTCACTTTAGTGTTCTCTTTGACACAATTCAATTTTTTCAGGAACTCTTCAGCATCAGAGACTTGTAGATTCTGGTGTCCATCCAACAGCAAGAAACTCTTGTCATTATTATTACGACACATCGTGCAAGAGCTCATCAGAGGATTTTTGTCTACAAGAAATAGCTTGGGATTAAATTCAGGCAACTTATCAAAGTCATCTAAACTGTTATCTAGACTCTTCATTATAGCGGGAGCTGTCGATTCTGTCGTGAGGGGTTGCCAAGGTTTCCACAATGTACTCATAGTGTTTGTACAAACAAAAATATTGTCCCTTAAAAATAAATTAAATCTTGAATCCATTCGTCTTGTTACAATCGAAATAATTTTTGCAATCGAATTGAGCGAAATCGCGCAATACGACGTAAATACACACGATGCATTTTCTCTCACCTGCATGCGCTAGACTTGACAATTCAGCGAGCATCAAGCATCGTCGCTAGAAAACGACGAGCAGGTGCATTAGTAGAATATTTAAACTCGCGAAAGATTTGCGAAAAATTCACGAAAATTTCAAGAAATTTCGAGTCGTGACTCAGGAAAATCGGCGCGCGTTGATTATATCGCCATTATAAGATCGTATATATCTACATTCGAGATCCGAGTCGTCGAATTTAGATCTCGTCAACATCGAACGATCTACTTGAATAATTAGATGTGACGATGCGCATTAACGTTTCAATTTGACGATTCAATTTCGAAACGCGAAACGCTGCCGAAATATATCGTCGGTCGTAGCTGTCGCATCACAGCGTTTTTCCCGGAAAAAAATTAAATGTCCATATATTTTACGTACGAACAACAATTATATTATATATTCGGCTATTATATACTCGGCTGTATATATAGAGTGTTCGAAAATCGTACAAATTTGAATATTCTCATTTGAAAAAAAAATGGGACTGTGATTTACACGTGGAATTTATCTCCATTACTATTATTTAAATTATTTTTTTAAATCAATAAAAAAATTCGAAAAGTCAATAAAAAATATTTTTCCCAAAGCAAGATAATCGAACTTATTTTTAAAAAATTGTACAATTACAATTTAAATTTTCATAAAAGAAAAGAAAAAAAACATTTTATAAAAATATATGTATTAAATGTATAAAATAATATAACAACAATGAAATGTGATTATCTTGACATTGGAAGATATCGGAAACTCGTAATCTTATCTATATAAAGTGCAAAATAATATAATAGTACGATATATATATATATATATATATATATATATATATATATATATATATATGATAGACGAGAATATACCCACATATATATATAAGATGTTGTATAGCCAAACACAGCACGTGGAATAAGAAAAAATTAGAACTATTGGAGAATATTTTCTAAAAGGAAGGAAAAGAAGGAGGGAAGGATCTGGAATGCAAGGAGAGATATCTGATTGGTTACGCCATGTCGGGAATACTGCCAAACTCTATACTGGAACCTGGAGAGCAAGCCTTTGTTTAGGCATAGTGGGGAGCGGCACAGATTGGAGCAAAAAACACAGATAAGCTGATAATCACAATCTGTGCTTATATTTAAGATAATCTTAAGTACAATCTTAAATTATTAAACCAATCACAGAGCCGAGTTAATACCTTAAGACATTACTTAAAACGGTCTTGAAATAAAAACGGACTATGAATACCGGCTATAGCATTGAATCATGCTTTTCTTGTTATAACATGTACTACTGTTGATTAAAAATATTTGCCTCAACTTTAATGTTGTTGATGTGACGTGACACAATAAGCCACATTCAACAGCTCAACAGTTGGCAACATTACTAGATTTTCTGACGTAATTTTACGCTGATTGGTCGGACTTAAAAGTAGAAACCAATCATATTCAATTACTATTTAGCGATTATATCCGCTGAATGTGGCCAATAATTATTTACAAGAATACAATCTTGATAACCGATTGTTAAGTCATGTAAGCCTTTCTTACACTATAGATTGCGGTTGGAATTGACGAATCAGAATAGCTGATTTATAAATAGCTTTGCTCTGATTGGTCAATCTTCAGGTTGAAATTTGACCAATTAAGACAAAGAGATTTTAGTACTTTTTGTTCTGATTGGTCCAATTCCATCGGGTGGCATCCGATTGATTACGTTGCCTATTGGTCAATTCAAAATAGGACTCTCTGATTGGTCAATCGTTGCTGGTTATCCTAGGGTCGATGTAATTGGCTGTGGTCAATTACAACGTGATCAAACGGGACGGTCTCGAATTGACCAATTAGAATAGCCGGTTTATAAATAGCTTTGCTCTGATTGGTCAATCTTCAGATTGAAATTTGACCAATAAGAACAAAGAGATTTTAGTATTTTTTATTCTGATTGGTCCAATTCCAGTCAAATTTTTTTAATGCGCAGTATCTAATATGGACTATGCATGAATCTCTCTTATCCGATTTAAAGAATATTATATCACAGTTTCGTGATATAATTGTTTAATTAATTTTGGCAAGTGTTCTAGATAGTCCAGTTTATATAATTATATTGTCACTTACATAAAATAAAGTAGATAAAATTAAAGATAGATCTTTAAAAAAGAAGAAACCAAATGTCAAACTTATGAATGATGCGTAATTATTTGGCACTGTATAGCAAGAATCGATTCGAACGATCGATATTAATCGACGAATAATGGCGAGATCCATTCTGCACTTTCTCACGTCTTTCGTGTGCAAAGGAAGACGAGTATACTGTATTCACGCTTTGTGAGGGGAAAGGACGGAGAATCATGAATAGCGAAAGTGCAACTTGAAAGGAGCAAATCTACCGATTATAAGCGGTATAATCACTTCGTGTGATACATCGCTGGAACGAATCGTCAAATCAGGCGAGGTTGATTTTGCTTCGCGATTTTCTCGCACGCGCAAATTCGACACGTAATTCCAAGACTCCGCTACGTCTTGGCATTAATCAGTCTGCTCGGTAACTTAACAAGGTCGCTAATGAGCCAGTAGAATTCTCGACGAATCCGGTTCCTCAGCGGCATGTCGGCGCCGTCGTTGAAGGATCACCAGTCATCCTGGCGGAGTTCCGAGATATGCTTCTCGACGAATTCGCGGCAGTGACCTATCCTGACAAGATTGCGTTTACTCGGTGCTGAGTGATCGAACGATGGAGCACCAGGACCAGGATCAAACGGTCCAAGCGAACGGGGATGGTAGGTCACGCGATTGCTTTTGTTTGGATTTGTTTGTCCCGTTGTTTATAGATTGTTCTAATCAATGGTATCAATGGTTCGTTCATGTACAAAAAAAAAGTGTAAAGACAAAGCGGTAAATCGCGTTTGATATGCGATAAGAAGGGACTGTATTAATATGATAAAGATTTCTCAATATTATTATTTGTTTGTTAATAATCAAACCTTTTAAGACACAACTTTTTATTAAAAGTATTATCTGTTATGATTTAGAGGATCTACGGATGAAGATTAATAGATTGGAATCGGAAAATATTAAAATGCGGGAGGAATTTAATGTACAAAGGGCTAAGATGAAGGAATTGTTCCTTCAGAAAGAAGGTATATAATATTTGTACAACTTAAATACTAGACAAATAATTTTGCAATAATTAAATGCCAAGAGTTGTATAACAACCCATAAATTTTGTAGAGGAATTAAAACGAAGATTAGAGGAGAATATGAGCTTGCAAAAGGAGAATCAGAGACTAAAAAATGAACTGGATGAAACTAAAAGTCAACTAGTCGTTGCAGATCTTAAAATACAAAATGATATATTAGTAGAGAAGAGAAAAGCTGAAGAAGAGATAGCATCTCTACAACAAGTTATACATGAAACAGTGGAAGAGTCTTCTTGTTCAAGGAAGCAACTTGTCAGCGAAGTATCTAAGTTACAAATAGCTCTTTCCAAGCTTCAAGACGAAAATATGCTATTGAAAACACAATTACCGCGCGATCCGCCAACAGATGGACCACAAATCTCATTATCTACAGTAACTAAAACATTAGCTAGAAAAGTGGCTTCACAGTTAGGTGCGGATTCTTTATCTCTAGGTCCTGATAATTTAGAAGAAAGCATGCGGAAGGTAAAAAAATATGTACGTAAATCTAAAACAGCATGAAACACATTAAACTCTTCATATAATCAAATTCACATATATAAAGAAATACATTGCATTAAATATCAACATTATCACTTACATTTTTAGAAATAATATTTACGTTACATTAAAATAAATAAAAATTGTATGATTTTACAGGCACAAGAAGATGCAGAAGTTTTACGTTCGTTGGTTGTACCACTTGAAGAAGAAATAAAAGCTTTAAAAGAAAAATTAAGGTCAACCGACGACGAACTGCAAAAGTCTAAAGAAATTTTATTGAAAAAACGGCAACAGGAATCTGGTTCCTTTGAGCCATCATGTGATATGTGTGTAAATTATGAAGCACAATTAGTCAAAGTAGAAGCGACTGCCAAGAATTTGGAGAAACAGTTGTTAGATTCTCAACGTATGTTACAAGCTCAAAAGGAGGACTTAGCTAAGGAAGTCGAATTTCGAAAAGAAATGGAGGGAAAGTGGAATGAGAAGAAGGAGGAGCATAAAATCAAAGTTGCAGAGCTCACGGTTACCTCGCAGACGACGCAACAAAATTTATTAGAGTTAAAGAAAACTTTCGAACAAGTTCAGAGGAGTGTATCAGAGGAGCTTTGTAAATTGACACGAGGTAGAGAAGAAGTACAGAGACATCTCACTGCGTAAGATAATTTCTTTATGATAAATTTAATTCTTTAGTAATATTTTATGAATCAATAGTATACACTTATTTTTATAAATTAAGATTTATGAAAATAAGTGGATACTATTGATAGAGCTTTATTCAAAATCTCATCACATATTTGCAGACTTCAAGCAGAAAATGAGAATCTGGTAGGTAAACAAAGCAAACATTCGCAACAGCTCCAAAGTGAAAGTATCAACATGCCAAATACTGTTGAGGAATTACAATTTAGCCTTTTAAGAATGCGTGAAGATTTAATTACAGCTAAAGTAGCTCAAGAAGTGGCACAAGAGAAGGAAGAAACACTGCGATATGAAGTTACTCTTCTGAGAGAACAAATGGAGCAAGAGAGTAGAGTTAAAGAACAAGATAATTCTATGTTAAAAAATGAAATAAGTGGATTAAGGTAAGATTGTCTGTTGAATGACAATAAAAGTATTGACTACAATCACTTAATATTATACAATCATCATTATAATCAATATAATATTTTATTTTGAATGATTTATAGAGTGCAATTAGATAAATATATAAGAGATCATCGTATACTTGCTGATAGAGAAAAGAAACTTGATCAGCTTGAAAAACAGCTACAGGAAGTTGAGAAAGAGAAGAAAGATGCAGAATCGGCTGTAACTGAACTACAACAGAGAGTTAAGAGTCTGCAGCAAGAATTGGATACTAGTGAGGCTGTGCAAAAAGATTTTGTGAGATTATCACAGTCATTGCAGGTAAACAAGAAATGTAAACAAAGAAATAAGAGGCATTCAAAATTGATAAAGAGTTGTAATAAGCTATTCCTTATTTCAAACTCTTTACAACTGTATTATATGTGTAAAATAGAGAAAGAGAGAGACTGCAACTATAAGTAATATAATATATTGACAATCACACATAGGTACAACTGGAAAGGATTAGACAGGCAGGTAGCGAAGTAAGATGGCAACATGAAGAGGATGTTGAAGAATGTCCTACTTGTCATATAACATTTTCAGTCACCAGAAAAAAGGTAAATTATAAA